TTGTGTGCAGGTCTGGAGCCCTCAATATAAGAAGGACATGGACCTGATGGAGAGGGTCCAGAGGAGGGCCACAAGGATGATCAGGGGGATGGAGCACCTCTGCTACGAGGACAGGCTGAGGGAGCTGGGGTTGTTCAGCCTGGAGAAAAGGAGGCTCCGGGGAGACCTAATAGCAGCCTTCCAGTACCTGAAGGGAGCCTACAGGAAGGCTGGGGAGAGCCTGTTTAGAAAGGCCTGCAGTGACAGGACGAGGGGAAATGGCTTCAAGCTGGAGGGGAACAGATTTAGATTGGAGATGAGGAGAGGGTTCTTCACTGTGAGGGTGGTGGAGCACTGGAACAGGTTGCCCAGGGAGGTGGTTGAGGCCCCATCCCTGGAGATATTCAAGGAGAGGCTCGATGAGGCCCTGGGCAACCTGGTCTAGTTGGGGGTGTCCCTGCTGACTGCGGGGGGGTGGGACTAAATGGCCTTTGGAGGTCCCTTCTGGCCTGGGCAATTCTATGATTCTATGACATGTGACCCGTGGAGCCTTACTTTCGCTGCCGGTGAGACTTCTTCACGGGACACAGCTCCTGGAAGAGCCTCTGGTTGGTGAGTCTGGCCACCATGAGGAACTTATTCTGGGAAAGGAAGTCGTCAATGAGCTGCTTCTTCATCTCTCGTGCCTGGAGAGGACAAAGCAAGCCGAGGTGAGTACTGAGCAGGGTGAGGAGAGTGAAGCTGCTGCACGTGACGTTCTCATCTGGAGCCTGGGGAAGGCTGCCAGCCGTCACGGTCCTCACTGAGATGTTTGGAGGCCTCAAGACTGAGGCTCAACGAGGCCCTGGGCAACCTGGTCTAGTTGGGGGTGTCCCTGCTGACTGCGGGGGGGTTGGACTAGATGGCCTTTGGAGGTCCCTTCCAGCCTGGGCAATTCTATGATTCTATGAAGCCACCTGCAGCCCACCCTCAAGAGGACAGATGCCACAGCCTACAGAGCACCCTCCCTCCTAAATGATCGTGCTCTGCTGCAGCCTGAGTTTCTGCTGAGACCGACCCCTCATCACAAGCTGGGTCTGAAACCCCTCAGCGTGCATCTCACCTAAGCTCTCCGAGAGGACTGAGCAATACCTGCACAACATCAGCGGGCTTGTCGATGTTCTCCTTGAAGATCATCATGGTGGGGGTGTAGACATTGATGTTGTACTGACTGGACAACTCCTCGGTGCCCCGGAGGCCGACGTACACGTACCCAAAGGACAAGTACTCTCGGTAGGCGAAGGCCGTCAGCTGGAGGGGAACAAATCACCAGGGTGTGTTTACGTTAGAGACCAAGCAACATTTTTCTCCCCCTCGAGTGCCTGTGGCAGCTTTGCTTTGAGAACACCACCTCCCGCTGTTGAAATGTCACTGGGCACGCGCTGCAGGAGGCAAGAGCCCTTCCTCTCTCCCTCTGCATTCTCTTAGTCATCCTCCCGGGAGCCTCGACGGAGCCACAGCTTTATTTTACAACCTGACATTTCGCAGGGTAGCAGGCGTTTCTTAGGAAACAGGGCTTTCCGGTAACCCAAAGCAGATGTGCCCCAAAAATCCCTCCTTACCCATAAAGGTTAACACCTGCCTCTGCTGCCGCTACCTCCGGAACCCACCCGCACCTTCCACTAAGGGCACATTCGTGGTGGGACAAAGAAAATCTCCTTGTGAAGTCCCTCATCTGGCCGTGCCATTTCGACTGACACAAATCAACTTAGAAGAGGTCAATAGTATTTAGAGGCATCGGTCTGCCTCTGCTCACAGCAGCAGGTCTTGGGAGGTGATTCTGCCCCTCTACTCTGCACTCCTGAGACCCCACCTGGAGCTCTGTGTCCAGCTTTGGAGTCCTCAGCACAGAAAGGACATGAACCAGCTGAACAGGTCCAGTGGAGGGCCACCAAGATGATCAGAGGGATGGAGCACCTCTCCTATGAAGACAGGCTGAGGGAGCTGGGATTGTTCAGCCTGGAGAAGAGGAGGCTCCGGGGAGACCTTATAGCGGCCTTTCAATACCTGAAGGGTGCCTATAGAAGAGCTGGGGAGGGACTCTTTGCCAGGAAGGGTAATGATAGGACAAGGGGAAACAGTTTTAAATTGGAAGAAAAAAGATTCAGATTAGATCTCAGGAGGAAATTTTTTACTCTGAGGGTGGTGAGACACTGGAACAGGTTGCCCAGGGAAGCCGTGGATGCCCCATCCCTGGAGGGGTTCAAGGCCAGGCTGGATGTGGCCTTGAGCAACCTGCTCTGGTGGGAGGTGTCCCTGCCCAGGGCAGGGGGGTTGGAACTCGATGATCTTTGAGGTCCCTTCCAACCCAAACCATTCTATGATTCTATGATCTTCTCTTGGAACAGCTGGATTTATCAGTAAATCAAAGAACACGGCGACAGAAATCACATTACCTTGTATAATAAGGGCACAACTGGCATATGATCAAATAGAAGGACGTGGGGCTTGTTTTCTTTCTTCCAGTTGGAGAGGAAGCGGATGTAGTTTTTATCTGTAATCTTTAAATAGAACCAGCGCGTTAGTTCAGCCTCTGAGCCCTCAGACACACACCACGCTGTGGGATTCGGCGTCTGAAAGAGCTGCCAAGGTGTTGGAGAAAGCAGACTCTGGGGGTTTGTCTTTCCAACTGGTATGACTGATGGGTCCTCTTTTGATACAGGAGATTAATTAAAACCATCAGTCTTGCCCCCCACCACCCCTCTGAGCTAGTGCATCCCCTGCCAATGCTGATGCCACTTTGGTTCTTGGAACTGTTCATTGGGGCTGTAAGCTTTACATAGAGTGGGAAGCCAAGGGTTAACAGGCACCTGTGGGCTCCATCAAACCTGCTCTTTTTCAGCTTCGGTACCTCCTTGACCTAGAGGAAGGAGGTAGAAGGGAGATCACAGCTGGTTTAGGGACCCACAGGCAGGGAAGCAGGCTCCAGGCTCTGCTTTTTAGGACTGCCTGGTTGCAGGAGGTGAAATGGCTGCTTTAGCCATGAAAAGGGACCACAGACCCTGTTTTTGGGGTGAAAACTCAAATACTCGGAGGGCAGCAAGTCAAAGTCTATCAGGAAGAGCAGCCCTTGCTGAAGACACCAGGGAAAAAGGAGATGAGGTGAACAAGGCTCCAGGTAGAGGCAGGTGAGAGCCCTACAGGGGCTGACCAGGGGAGGTGGGTGCTTTAGGGCTCTGCCAAAAAAACCCAATTTTTTTATCTAATAGGAGGTTTATGTATAACTTTGACAGGGCTCGCACTGCTGGCTCCAGTTTGAAAGGTCTGAATCAGAACTGGACCAAACAAAACAGCGGGTCTCTTTGTGGGTGAGTTTTAGCAGACAATACCTACAAGTTAGTGAGCAGCCCTTAATTTGCTGGATGAAACCCTGAGAGAGGAGAAATGACATGAAATCCAGCAGGCAGGTAGGGCAGGCTCACCGATTCCTAACCTGGGGGGTAGCTTTTGGACAGTTTTGGGGTGTAATAACTCGGAGAAGATCAGGCACACAAAGTTGGTGGGGTAACCCCATAGTGGTGTGATTAACCCTTTGGAAAGGGGAAGCGGTAGGAGCTGCATCACATGATGGTCTCCACCAGCTCTGGGGTTTGAAGCTGTAATTACAGCTCCCAAAACACCTCTCTTCACCAGCCTTGGTCGGATCTTCTCACATTTGTGACACAGATCAGCTCGGGGGCTGAATTAAACAGATGAGGCACCAAAGCAGCTGAGGAGAGATGAACACCCAGACAGGCAGGAGAAGCAGCACGTTGACACTCTTACTAGAGCCTACCTTTTCCACGAGGTTGCCCGGCAGAAGGTTCTCCACGAATTGCCGCAGGTTCTCTCGAAGGACGGCGTTGTGGAAGAAGGTTATTTTCCCGTTGATGAGCCCCAGCAGGGAGGGGGTGCTGTGTGCACCCAGGTGGTGGGCGAGGCGCCTTTCGTACCCAGCGTGAACCACCCCGATTCCCACTCCTGGAAAAGGAGAAGTGGGTTCAATGCAAAAGACTCACCTGCAATCCAAAAAGTCTAAGAGAAAACCCAGGTTGAAGACCTGTTCCTTTGCCCAGCACTCTGCTACCAAGTAATTTATTGGACTGTCCCTCCTAACTCTCTACATTCCTCCCTTCACAGAATCACAGGATCTTCTAGGTTGGAAGGGACCTTAAAGATCATCTTGTCCAACCGTCAACCTAACTGACAAAAATTGTATTTAAAAAAATTGTATTTAAAACTCACAGCTTTATGGAGGGGGAAAGAAAGAATGCACTGTCCCTTTTTTAATCCTGTCCACTGATATTTCACGTGCTACATAGAACCTCAAAGAGGACAATCTTAGTAAGTGGGAACTACATTGTCTTTGTCTCCTGCTGTCTGTTGAATTTATGTTTTTCTGGAAATGCATATAGAAAACATCTGCAGGGAAAAAGCAGGAAGCTGGGGATGGAAGGGCAAGTACAAAATACCTCCTTGGCATCCAAACGTGTTCAATAAGTCAAAGTTCAGGCAAAACTGAACTGTAGGGTAGTGGCCCTCAAGTCGTGCCGCAGGGATCTTGCTCAGCAAAGCCACCCAAGTGCAGGACGAAGAGCAAGACAGCATTTTTGCTGGTGGCCTCAACTCGTGGCAGCACGGTCAGCCCTTGGCCACGCCAACATTTATGATCATCAACATCAGACTAAACCACTAAACAACAGGAGAAAAGGCATCTTGCCTTTGTGATTGTGTCCAGATCTGGGCACCTCAATACAAGAGAGATCTGGAGGTGCTGGAGCGAGTGCAGAGGAGGGCAACGAAGCTGGTGAGGGGGCTGGAAAACAAATCGTATGAGGAGCGGCTGAGGGAGTTGGGACTGTTTAGTGTGAGGAAGAGGAGGCTGAGGGGAGACCTCATCACTCTCTACAACTACTTGAAAGGACACTGTAGAGAGGTTGGTGCTGGTCTCTTCTCACAGGTAATTAGTGACAGAACGAGAGGGAACGGCTTCAAGCTCCAACAGGGGAGGTTTAGATTGAACATTAGGAAGGAATTTTTCACCGAAAGAGTGGTCGGGCATTGGAACAGGCTGCCCAGGGAGGGGGTGGAGTCCCCATCCCTGGCTGTGTTTAAGGGCCGTTTAGATGCAGTGCTGAGGGACATGGTGTAGGGGAGGACTTTGTAGAGTAGGGGAGATGGTTGGACTCGATGATCCCAAGGGTCTCTTCCAACCTCAATGATTCTATGATCTACAGGACTAGGTTTTTTTTTTCCTCATTTCTAACATATAGCCTCATCAATTGGGGTGTTAGTAACACACAGGAAAGCATTAAGAGAAATCCCTGAGGAAATTTAGGGATTAAACACAGTCTTCCAAAGCTGAAGGCAACCCCTCGCTGGGTGAGGGATGTGCCCAGCCCTAAATGGCCTCGTCCTTACCCAGCGCCTCCAATTCCTGAGCGACTTCCTTCCACACAGGCTCGATGTGGATGCAGCTGAAACACCAGTCGGAGGTTATTTTGATGAGGTAAGGTTTCTTGAAACTGTCTGGCACGATTTCGTTGACGTAGTGGGAAAAATGGAGCAAATACTTCTCGTCGGAGGTGTCGCGCCTCTCGGAATTAAAGGGGAAATGGAAGAAGGACTCGTCAAAATAGAAGCCTTCGTGGAAGTGGTGGAACTGGCGATGCTGGTGCTGAGAGTAGCCCTGGCTTTCCCCGGCGTCTCCGTAGCGATCGAAGTTTGCCCTCTTCTCCTCGTTGGAGAGAATCTGGGGAGTGGGTGATAGAAGAACAGAATCACACACAGAATCTTCTAGGTTGGAAGGGACCTTAAAGATCATCTTGTCCAACCGTCAACCTAACTGACAAGAATAGACACCCACACAACAAACAAGGAGCATCATCACTAAACCCTATCTCCCAGCACTACATCAACCCCTCTTTTGAACACCTCCAGGGATGGGGCCTCAACCACCTCCCTGGGCAGCCCATTCCAAGGGCTGAGAACCCTTTCCGTGAAAAAATTTTTCCTAATATCCAGCCTGAACCTCCCCTGGTGTAACTTGAGGCCATTTCCTCTTGTCCTGTCGCCTGTGACTTGGGAGAAGAGACCGACCCCCCCTGGCTACACCCTCCTTTCAGAGAGTTGGAGGGAGCAAGGTCTCCCCTCAGCCTCCTCTTCTCCAGGCTGAACACCCCCAGCTCCCTCAGCCTCTCCTCATAAGACTTATTCTCCAGACCCCTCACCAGCTTTGTTGCCCTTCTCTGGACCCTGTAACTGTGAGGGAGAACTGCCCTGACCATAATCCCTTAGTAAGGAACTGCAGCTGGATAAGGACGGGCTCCAGGGGATGGCGCACCCTTTGTTGCGCATCAGAGGCATAAATATTCTGGAAAAGGGAACTATCACATCACATCCATGCTTGTTTGTGATAAATCAGGGTAAAAATAGGCAAAGCCCAAAGGAAAGAAGCCTGTAAATCAACTGTGGTACCCATTTCTGACGCCAATTGCTCCTCAAGCCTGAGCATCACACCATCTGAGCATGAACACTCCTTTCTGGAGCAGCCTCTGCTGGTGTCTGAACACTGAGCGTGTTCTAAGCGCATCGGAAAGCGCCACAAGTTTTACTGAGCACCCAGGCGCCCCACAGAGAAACTGCATATTTTTTTTTTTGGCTGGGAGATGATGATTTGCTTTATTTCTGCGGGCTCAGCTGGCTTGCCAGGGAAGTGCCGGGTCAGCCGCCGCAAACTGGGGCAGCCGATTTCAGGAGCGATGCGCAAATAACTACTTGCACAAAGAATAATTTGAAGGGACTAAAGCCCTGCGGTGACTAACGTTGTTTACATCATCCCCAAAATACTTCTGTGTAAGTGTGACACAGCCACGGCGGCCTCCTTTCTGGAGCAGCCTCTGCTGGTGTCTGAACACTGAGCGTTTTCTCAGCGCATCGGAAAGCGCCACAAGTTTTACTGAGCACCCAGGCGCCCCACAGAGAAACTGCATATTTTTTTTTTTGGCTGGGAGATGATGATTTGCTTTATTTCTGCGGGCTCAGCTGGCTTGCCAGGGAAGTGCCGGGTCAGCCGCCGCAAACTGGGGCAGCCGATTTCAGGAGCGATGCGCAAATAACTACTTGCACAAAGAATAATTTGAAGGGACTAAAGCCCTGCGGTGACTAACGTTGTTTACATCATCCCCAAAATACTTCTGTGTAAGTGTGACACAGCCACGGCGGCCACCCAGCTGTGTGGGGCTCAGTGAGTACCTGCTTCTCCCTCCTTTAAGGCTTTTTAGCATGAACAGAGTGGATCTGTAGCCAAATATTCACAACAGAGGCCACACTGGTGTCACCCAGGGGCTCTCTGTTGAAAAAAGCTCAACTTTTCTGGTGGGTAGTGTCCTCCCCCACGGAGTCAAGCACCTTTCCTAGGCAGCTGTATGCAGAAAAAACACAAACCCCAGTATGGAAAAATAAGGTGACTTAACTTTGATCTGAATGACAGCACGAGTTTAGCAAGAAGAGCTGTGTTACCTCGTAGGCCTTGCTAATCTGGATGAATTTGTCTTCCGCTCCTGGGTCCTTGTTTTTGTCAGGGTGCCTATGAGGCAGAACCGGAGGAAAAAAAGGGGTCAGCAGTTCCCCGGGGGGGGCACAGTGAGCTGTTAGCATCCCTTCAGTCAGGGCATGTGGCAGCAGCCCAAGGCTGAGATGGGATTTTACACCCAGGACGTGCTCTCCCTTCCCAAACCCCATCCCAAAACGCAGCACCAGGACATGTGCCATGTGCCTGCAGACCTGTCCCTCCATCCAATCTGTCACAAACAGCCCCAGCCCAGGATGAGGGAGAGTGAATCTTCCTGCTACAGCCATGCATCCCTCAGCTCCTGCCCTACATATTTCCCATATTTCTTCCTGTAAAACCCCTCCCACCACAGCCCTCGGTGATGTCTCGGCTCCAAAAGCTCTGGGTGAGGCTAATTTCCAAGGTAATGCCTCAAACCTGCTCCCTGGTCCACACCACCGAGGTGGGGGGCACAACATTTGTTGGTCCAACGCATTTGGATCCCAGGGCACAGGGGCTGAGTTGCCCTCATGCATCGAGGTATCAAACTCTGAGATCCCGGTGTTTTCAAGGTCCCCAGCCGAGTCAGGGAGAACTTTTCACCCCATATCCAGCCCACGGGAGGGTTTTACAGCCCCGATTGCTGGCGTGAAGGTGCCTGCTGGGTTTCAGAGTGACCCCTGGGCCGTGAGGAAGACCCGGAGACCTAATGCCACCACCCGGTAGCCCTGCCTGTTCCTCGGAGCCCAGCAGGCCTGGGGCTCTGTCAACCGAGAGGACGCCCCAACCGGTACCGTGTGTCCGGTGCTTGGGGAGAGGGGATGGGAGCCCGGGGGGTCGGAAAGGAGACACGTACCATTCCCGGGCGAGCCGCTTGTAGGCCTTCTTGATGTCGGCCTGGCTGGAGCTCCGGCCGACCCCCAGGACGCGGTCCGGGTCGAAATCCCCCGCCGCGGCCTGCGCTCCCAGGGCGGCCAACAGCAAAGCGGCGGCCCAAGCCAGGCCCGCCCGGCCTAGCTCCATGGCTCCGGGCGGGACAGAGCAGCGGGGGAGGCCCCACGGGCTGGACACCGGGCGCTGAAGGGACCGGCGGGGGCCGCGGACAGGCCGCCCTCACCCACCCTGCGCCGCCGCTTCCGGCGCGCCCGCCCCGCCGTCACCATAGAGACGGGCGCCGCTTCCGGTCACCGAGAGGAGGAGGCCAGAGCGGCGGCGGCGGCGGAGGCTCCGCCATGGAGGAAACGCAACGGCGGGCCCTGCGGCGCGGGCGGGCCCGGCTGGTGGCGGAGCTGAGGGTGGCGCCGCTCTGGGACCCGCTGGAGGACAGAGGCCTCTTCACCCGCACCATGGTGGAAGAGCTGCAGGTTGGGCCGGGGGCGGGCACACCGGGTCTCCCTCAGCACCGGGGCGGGGGAGGGGGGGCGGCCCCGTATCCTCTCAGCCACGGTGATGAGGCCTAAGAGAGGCCTGACACGTACCATTCCCGGGCGAGCCGCTTGTAGGCCTTCTTGATGTCGGCCTGGCTGGAGCTCCGGCCGACCCCCAGGACGCGGTACGGGTCGAAATCCCCCGCCGCGGCCTGCGCTCCCAGGGCGGCCAACAGCAAAGCGGCGGCCCAAGCCAGGCCCGCCCGGCCTAGCTCCATGGCTCCGGGCGGGACAGAGCAGCGGGGGAGGCCCCACGGGCTGGACACCGGGCGCTGAAGGGACCGGCGGGGGCCGCGGACAGGCCGCCCTCACCCACCCTGCGCCGCCGCTTCCGGCGCGCCCGCCCCGCCGTCACCATAGAGACGGGCGCCGCTTCCGGTCACCGAGAGGAGGAGGCCAGAGCGGCGGCGGCGGCGGAGGCTCCGCCATGGAGGAAACGCAACGGCGGGCCCTGCGGCGCGGGCGGGCCCGGCTGGTGGCGGAGCTGAGGGTGGCGCCGCTCTGGGACCCGCTGGAGGACAGAGGCCTCTTCACCCGCACCATGGTGGAAGAGCTGCAGGTTGGGCCGGGGGCGGGCACACCGGGTCTCCCTCAGCACCGGGGCGGGGGAGGGGGGGCGGCCCCGTATCCTCTCAGCCACGGTGATGAGGCCTAAGAGAGGCCTCCGTGTCCCCTCAGCCTCGGTGACAGGTCTGGGGGCTGGCCCCCGTGTCCCCTCACCCTGTTGACAGGCCCAAGGGAGGGCCCTGTGTCCCCTCAGCCCCAGTGACAGGCCTTCAGGGTAGCCCCTGTGTCCTATCAGGCTTGGGGATTGGCCACCATGTCCCCTCACCCCAGTAACAGGCCCACTGGAGGCTCTAGTGTCCCCTCAGCCCCAGTGACAGGCCTTCAGGGTAGCCCCTGTGTCCTATCAGGCTTGGGGATTGGCCACCATGTCCCCTCACCCCAGTAACAGGCCCACTGGAGGCTCTAGTGTCCCCTCAGCCCCAGTGACAGGCCAAAGGGGTGGCCCCTCTGTCTGCTCAGCTCCAGTGACAGGCCCAAGGGAGGGCCCCGTGTCCCCTCAGCCTCGGTGACAGGTCTGGGGGCTGGCCCCCGTGTCCCCTCAGCCCCAGTGACAGGCCTAAGGGAGGGCCCCGTGTCCCCCTCAGCCCCAAGGGAGGCCTCCCTGTGTCCCCTCCGCCCCAGTGACAGGCTTCCAGGGTAGCCCCTGTGTCCTCTCGGGCTTGGGGGTTGGCCACCATGTCCCCTCACCCCAGTAACCCACTGGAGGCTCTAGTGTCCCCTCAGCTCTGGTGACAGGTCTGGGGACTGACCTCCATGTCCCCTCACCCTGTTGACAGAGAGGGAGGCTCCTGTGTCCCCTCAGCCCAGTGACAGGCCTGAGGGTTGGCCTCCTGTCTCCTCTCAGGCTCCCATATCCTCTCATCCCAGTGACAGGGTCAAGGGAGGGCCCCATGTCCCCTCACTCTGGCCTAGGAAGTGGTCTGTGTCCCTTCCCACCCCAGGCCCTGCAGGTAGGAGGTGTAAGACTCCCCCCACCCACCTTGTCCCTTCTCATCCCCTGCCCCAGCCAGTCCAGGCATGGAGCTTTCTCCTCGGGTCCCCATCCTGAGCCGGTGACAGGCTCAAGGAGCCCCCATTTCCCCTCTCTCTTACTGGTGACAGGCCTGGGGGTGTCTTACCTTGTCCCACACACCGGTGAGAGCCTAGAGGTGCCTGTTCATCCCCTGGGGACAGGCTGGGGGTGCTCTCTCCTCCCTCTCCCCCCGAGCCCCATGGTGAGGGCAGCAGGGCTGTGTGGTTGGAGGGCATCAGGACTGGGGTTCAGTGGCTACCAGAGATCTCCATGACTGTGTCCACTGGGTCTCAGTCTTGTTTGCCCCGTGTAGATGTGCTCGCTGTGGATCCCCTCGTTTCCCCTCTCTGGGTGCTGGTCAGAAGGTTGGGCAGATGGTGTGCCTTGGCTTGGGGTGATGTTGGCTTGGGCTTTCCTCCTCTGCAGAGCGCCGGCAGCCGAGGAGACCAAGCCCGGCAGCTGGTCATCGACCTGGAGACTCGAGGAAAACAGGCTTTTCCCCTATTCCTCTCGATCCTGAGGGACACCGGGCAGGGAGACCTCGCAGACATGCTGATGAAGGAATGCCAGTGCCCACTGGTGCCGCCGCAGCTGGCAGAGCTGAGGCCTGTTGAGCTGGAGTTACGTGGAAAAAAACATAATAAAAGTAAGTGTTGAGGGTGCAGCTGGTTTTTGGGCAAACAGCAGCAGGGAGGGTGGCAGCTGGGATCGCTCTCGCCGTGGATAATAGTCCATGGAGTCCTGATTTTTATTATCCTGGAGCCTGGAGAGGTGACTGCAGAGCTGCGGGGAGAATGTCGTGCTTTCCAGTAGTGGAAATTTATAAGCTCAGGCTCTTTGCTCGTGGTGTTAGGAACTTCCTTCTCTGTGTCTTTGCACGCAATCTGGAAATCCTGAAAATGGATTTTGCCACGTCCTCACCACCTTGCACTCTGCTGAGTCTGTGCACAGATCCAGCTCGTGCAGTTGTACGGAGAAACTGGAGCCTGTTGAGCCCTGGGAAGGTGTTATGGTTTGAGAAAACCCTAACAATCTATTGTCATTTAGACAATTATTCCACCACCCGATGACCCCTTCCCACACGGAAAGGGGAATTGGAGAACACAAAGAAACACAAGGGTTGAAATATATTTAATAGACTAAGACTAAATAATTAGCAATAATACTAAAGAACCAGTATTAATCCCAATACTGATATAAGATATACAAGAATTATACTCAGCCAATTCTCTCAGCAGGAAGCTGTGCACTGCCAGCAGTGGACAACAAATGTTGGACACTGAGTGCAATGGTTTCAGGAGGAAGGGAAGGGCTCAGGGCTCCAGCACTGGAGCATGGAGTTGTCTGGACCCACCACCATCAAGGGAGAGAGAGCTCCACAGCAAACTTTTCTAATTTATATTGAATGTGACATTCACGGTATGAAATAATCCTGTTGGCAGCCTGGGTCAAACGCCCAGGCCTTGCTCCTCCTTGTCCCTGCACCTGGCAAGGCTCAAAAACACTAAGGCCTTGAATCCCACAGAGCCTGGCTGGCTATAAAGTCAATATTTTCACAAATTCAGACACTAGAGTCTCCTAGAAGTGCAATTTTCCCCAGCATTAGAAGAAAAGTTAGTCCTGTGTCTCTCAACCCAGGACAAAAGGGGAAAATAGACGTGATGTATCATGCCCTCACAGCAGGGTCCCTGCCACAGGCGACTCGGTTCAGGTCCTGAGGAGCCCGGGTTGGTTACTTGCAGAGTGGAATAAGAACGGGGAGAAGGTGGGACCCATCTGTGCTGTGTCCTTACAGATGTGAACTTGCCAGAACGTTTGTCCATCCCGGTCCAAGTCGAGAGCGAAAGACCTCGAACACCTCCAGCACCAGCCCTGGGTAAGCCACGTCCTAACATCTGGTGGGGTGGAAAAGGGAATTTGTTGGTGTTGCTGATAAGTCACGGGGGACGGGGTGGGATTAGTGTTAATTCCAGGAGGAAGGGGTATAACATCTCACTGTGGAGTGTGGAGAGCTAAATACTGTGTCTCTGGTGTGTGTTGCAGGTCTGGCTGTTGAGAAGAGGTGGGGTGGAAAAGGGAATTTGTTGGTGTTGCTGATAAGTCACGGGGGACGGGGTGGGATTAGTGTTAATTCCAGGAGGAAGGGGTATAACATCTCACTGTGGAGTGTGGAGAGCTAAATACTGTGTCTCTGGTGTGTGTTGCAGGTCTGGCTGTTGAGAAGAGGAACCGTGATCTGGTAGGTGTTTGTTTAGGCCCAAAGTGTTCCCTATTAAGCCAAAGCTCCGTGCCTTGTGAGTGGCTGCCACAAAATAGCCCCGCCACGTCCTAACATCTGGTGGGGTGGAAAAGGGAATTTGTTGGTGTTGCCGATGCGTCACGGGGGACAGGGTGGGATTAGTGTTAATTCCAGGAGGAAGGGGTATAACATCTCACTGTGGAGTGTGGAGAGCTAAATACTGTGTCTCTGGTGTGTGTTGCAGGTCTGGCTGTTGAGAAGAGGAACCGTGATCTGGTAGGTGTTTGTTTAGGTCCAGAGTGTTCCCTATTAAGCCAAAGCTCTGTGCCTTGTGAGTGGCGACCACAAAATAGCCCTGGGACAGCCGGTCCTTGCTTTGTGTTATCTGAGGGGTCACTCTGAGGCTGACACTGCTGTAACGGGGCCGATCGCCTCGGAGCAGGTCAATCATTAGCCAGCCCCTCCTTAAGATCACCGCAGCTGTAACACAAATGACATAACATGGCATTAAAGCTTGTGCTTAAACGGTTTCCCAGTAATCATTAGCCAGCCCCTCCTTAAGATCACCCACAAATGACATAACAAGGCATTAAAGCTTGTGCTTAAACAGTTTCCCAGGAAGGCAACTGGTAATTTCCGAAGGCACCAAGTCGTGTGCTGTCTGTGAAGCGACGTTTAGACTTTGTAATTGTAGTGTTGGGGAGCAGAAGGCAGGAAAACAGTAAGGAAGTTGTGCAGCCTGCTCTGGCGTGTTGGGAGATGCACAGGGAAGTGATTGTTGTGGAAATGTCTGGAGTTTCCTCACCTGTGGGTGTCGTGAGGAGGGGATGGTTTGGCTGTGGCCGCACGAGGCTCGTGGCCGTATCAGTGCAGGTTTTTGGGTAGCTCTCATAAAATTCCTGTATTTGTCTTTTCAATGGTAAAGCTGAGTCTCCAGGAGATTTCTCTCTTGGCTCCTTGTGTGGGCTTTCGTGAGGAGGTTTGATGAAGATGCCTGACAAATCTCAGGGAAACTTCAGCTTTCCATTGGAGATGCTGCAGGGAAAGAAGGGGTCAGTTTTCTGCCCACGAGCTCCCCAGTTTGGGAGGTTTTGTGTTCCCCAGCTGCTGATAACAATGTGTACTGTTGTGCACCTCTAGTCCCAGAGAAAGGAAAAAGCTGTGAAAGGAGCTGCTTTAAGGACTTGTTGGTGTTCTGTCCCACTGGATTAGCCAGCAAGCGCTCCAATTTAGAGGGTGTGTAATTGCAGCTTGTCCCTGCCAGGTTTACGAGCTGAAAGCAGACCCGTGCGGACACTGCCTGATCCTCAACAACGTCGACTTCAGCAGGGACTCGGATCTGTCGACTCGAGTCGGCTCCAACGTGGACTGCAAGAAGCTGGAGAAGCGCTTCAAGTCCTTGAGCTTCGACGTCCTGACTCGGCAGAATCTCAAAGCTCAGGTGAGGGACGAGAAGGGATCCCCCAGAAGCCGTGGGAGTGCCTTATGGGACGTCCCCCCATGTTGCAAGCACCCGAAAACCCTACCCTGCACTGCACAGAGAAATTACCAACCGCTCACTTCCTCTTATTTTATTGCCATGTTGCGACTGCAGGAGGAGGAAGGACTTTGTATGTTTTCACCCTTTTGCCTGAAGTTTGATTCCTGGTTGGGATTTGTAGGGAGGCTGTATTTCTGTGCTGTTTCTGACACTCTGTGTCGTGCGTGGCTGGGGGTGAGATTAGTCCCTCTGGGCAGTTCTCAGAGTGGCGCCAGCAGTGGACAACAAATGTTGGACACTGAGTGCAATGGTTTCAGGAGGAAGGGAAGGGCTCAGGGCTCCAGCACTGGAGCATGGAGTTGTCTGGACCCACCACCATCAAGGGAGAGAGAGCTCTGCAGCAAACTTTTCTAATTTATATTGAATGTGACATTCACGGTATGAAATAATCCTGTTGGCAGCCTGGGTCAAACGCCCAGGCCTTGCTCCTCCTTGTCCCTGCACCTGGCAAGGCTCAAAAACACTAAGGCCTTGAATCCCACAGAGCCTGGCTGGCTATAAAGTCAATATTTTCACAAATTCAGACACTAGAGTCTCCTAGAAGTGCAATTTTCCCCAGCATTAGAAGAAAAGTTAGTCCTGTGTCTCTCAACCCAGGACAAAAGGGGAAAATAGACGTGATGTATCATGCCCTCACAGCAGGGTCCCTGCCACAGGCGACTCGGTTCAGGTCCTGAGGAGCCCGGGTTGGTTACTTGCAGAGTGGAATAAGAACGGGGAGAAGGTGGGACCCATCTGTGCTGTGTCCTTACAGATGTGAACTTGCCAGAACGTTTGTCCATCCCGGTCCAAGTCGAGAGCGAAAGACCTCAAACACCTCCAGCACCAGCCCTGGGTAAGCCACGTCCTAACATCTGGTGGGGTGGAAAAGGGAATTTGTTGGTGTTGCCGATGCGTCACGGGGGACAGGGTGGGATTAGTGTTAATTCCAGGAGGAAGGGGTATAACATCTCACTGTGGAGTGTGGAGAGCTAAATACTGTGTCTCTGGTGTGTGTTGCAGGTCTGGCTGTTGAGAAGAGGAACCGTGATCTGGTAGGTGTTTGTTTAGGTCCAGAGTGTTCCCTATTAAGCCAAAGCTCTGTGCCTTGTGAGTGGCGACCACAAAATAGCCCTGGGACAGCCGGTCCTTGCTTTGTGTTATCTGAGGGGTCACTCTGAGGCTGACACTGCTGTAACGGGGCCGATCGCCTCGGAGCAGGTCAATCATTAGCCAGCCCCTCCTTAAGATCACCCACAAATGACATAACAAGGCATTAAAGCTTGTGCTTAAACAGTTTCCCAGGAAGGCAACTGGTAATTTCCGAAGGCACCAAGTCGTGTGCTGTCTGTGAAGCGACGTTTAGACTTTGTAATTGTAGTGTTGGGGAGCAGAAGGCAGGAAAACAGTAAGGAAGTTGTGCAGCCTGCTCTGGCGTGTTGGGAGATGCACAGGGAAGTGATTGTTGTGGAAATGTCTGGAGTTTCCTCACCTGTGGGTGTCGTGAGGAGGGGATGGTTTGGCTGTGGCCGCACGAGGCTCGTGGCCGTATCAGTGCAGGTTTTTGGGTAGCTCTCATAAAATTCCTGTATTTGTCTTTTCAATGGTAAAGCTGAGTCTCCAGGAGATTTCTCTCTTGGCTCCTTGTGTGGGCTTTCGTGAGGAGGTTTGATGAAGATGCCTGACAAATCTCAGGGAAACTTCAGCTTTCCATTGGAGATGCTGCAGGGAAAGAAGGGGTCAGTTTTCTGCCCACGAGCTCCCCAGTTTGGGAGGTTTTGTGTTCCCCAGCTGCTGATAACAATGTGTACTGTTGTGCACCTCTAGTCCCAGAGAAAGGAAAAAGCTGTGAAAGGAGCTGCTTTAAGGACTTGTTGGTGTTCTGTCCCACTGGATTAGCCAGCAAGCGCTCCAATTTAGAGGGTGTGTAATTGCAGCTTGTCCCTGCCAGGTTTACGAGCTGAAAGCAGACCCGTGCGGACACTGCCTGATCCTCAACAACGTCGACTTCAGCAGGGACTCGGATCTGTCGACTCGAGTCGGCTCCAACGTGGACTGCAAGAAGCTGGAGAAGCGCTTCAAGTCCTTGAGCTTCGACGTCCTGACTCGGCAGAATCTCAAAGCTCAGGTGAGGGACGAGAAGGGATCCCCCAGAAGCCATGGGAGCGCCTTATGGGACGTACCCCCATGTTGCAAGCACCCAAAAGCCCTACCCTGCACTGCACAGAGAAATTACCAACCGCTCACTTCCTCTTATTTTATTGCCATGTTGCGACTGCAGGAGGAGGAAGGACTTTGTATGTTTTCACCCTTTTGCCTGAAGTTTGATTCCTGGTTGGGATTTGTAGGGAGGCTGTATTTCTGTGCTGTTTCTGACACTCTGTGTCGTGCGTGGCTGGGGGTGAGATTAGTCCCTCTGGGCAGTTCTCAGAGTGGCTCAATCACCCGGAGCAGCCACTGGAAGTAGCTCAAGGTTCTCTGCTCACCCACCAGCCCCTCATCAGAAACAGAGCATTTCAGTGGTTAAGTCAAACCCTGCTGCCTGCCGGCGGCTTGGGCAGCCCCAGACGTGTTGGGACAGGGGAGCTGAACAGCCCCTGTGCCGCCCAGCTCATTGGCTTTTCACACCCACGTCATCTGTCAAACTCAAGTGGGTTTTTTGTGCAGAAAAATGCATCCACAAAACCGTGGAATAACTGTGGTCGGATGGGACCGCAGGAGATCCAGCCCCCGGCTCAAAGCAGGGCTTCTCAAGGGTGGGCTGAGGGAGGAGGGAACCAGACTCTTTTCAGTAGTTGCCAGTGAGAAGACAAGGGGCAACGGGCACAAGTTGGAACATAAAGGGTTCCACTTGAATATGAGGAAGAACTTTTTCACAGTGAAGGTGACGGAGCCCTGGAACAGGCTGCCCAGGGAGGGTGTGGAGTCCCCTTCTTTGGAGATTTTCAAGCCCCACCTGGATGCTCCTGAGTAACATGCTCTGACAAGCTCTGGGTGGTCCTGCTTTGGCAGGGGAGTTGGACTAGATGATCTCTATGGTCCCTTCCAACTCTAAAAATTCAGTGAAATGTGTTTTGGTCTGCGTTGCTGTGCTGTAACGAATGCAGTGAGGAGAGAAATGTGTGTAATTAAAGCCACCAGTGTTAAATACGGGTTAATACTCACTGTCTGCTGATGGGTTTTGCTGTCTGTATGTGGGGTGCGTGTTACCCTGTGGCAGAGAGAGGTCCACTGGATCCTTCTGAGCAGTGGAGCCGTGACAGACAGATAAGAGCAGGGCCCAGCAGCGCTCCGGGGCCGAGGGACGACGTCAAAAGCTCTGACTGGGATGTTTTCTCTGCAGGAAATGGTTTCAGAGCTGCAGAAGCTGGCGCAGCAGGACCACGGCGCCTTGGACTGCTGCATCGTGGTCATCCTTTCCCATGGGTGTCAGGTGGGTTCATGGCGCCTCTCCCTCTGCTCGTTAGGCAGGGTGCCCATGTGGGAAGGGGTTAATTCCCCTTGTCTCTCACGTGCAGGGTGGGAGGGAAGTGGTTTGTCATCGTGACCGATCTGATGTCGTGGTAGGATGCAAAGAGTTACTCTCGTATCTGGGTTAAAGAAAACAGCAGCTTTTCCAGTGTAGTCTGAGCCGGTGTTGCCTGTGGACAAGTGTTCTCCGTTTTGGAAGTTGAGGTGTAGAATTTGGAAGGGAATCATAGAATCACTGAGGTTGGAAGAGACCCTTGGGATCATCAAGTCCAACCATCTCCCCTACTCTACAAAGTCCTCCCCTACACCATGTCCCTCAGCACTGCATCTAAACGGCCCTTAAACACAGCCAGGGATGGGGACTCCACCCCCTCCCTGGGCAGCCTGTTCCAATGCCCGACCACTCTTTCGGTGAAAAATTCCTTCCTAATGTTCAATCTAAACCTCCCCTGTTGGAGCTTGAAGCCGTTCCCTCTCGTTCTGTCACTAATTACCTGTGAGAAGAGACCAGCACCAACCTCTCTACAGTGTCCTTTCAAGTAGTTGTAGAGAGTGATGAGGTCTCCCCTCAGCCTCCTCTTCCTCAAACTAAACAGCCCCAGCTCCCTCAGCCGCTCCTCATACGATTTGTTTTCCAGCCCCCTCCCCAGCTTCGTTGCCCTCCTCTGCACTCGCTCCAGCACCTCCAGATCTCTCTTGTATTGAGGTGCCCAAAACTGGCCCCAATCCTCCAGGTGTGGCCTCCCCAGTGCTGAGTACACAATCACAATCACCTCCCTACTTCTGCTGGTCACGCTATTTTTGATACAAGCCAGATGGGAATGATGGGTGGGAGCGCAGGGAGGTCGCGCTGATCCTCATGCCGTGGTCCTTTAGTCCTTCATGTTTCTCTGGCTCTGCTGGGGGAGATGCTATTAGTGGTAAAGCCTCTTTATTGCAAGTCAGAGGCCTCGAAGAATGAGGAGAGGAGGATGTCAGGAAAACCATGTGTTATGTGTCCATTGTCCCAGAGGATGAAGGACCCTGGTGCTGGAGGAGGCAGGGTAGGAGCTGATGACAGGACGAGTCAGATTGATGGGTTTTAGAGTGTTTCAGATGTCTCCCAGGCATCCCCTTGGGCACAAATGTGAGGAAATGAGATTTGTTCTGGTAACTTCAGGCTACAAAGCACCCGATGGGAAGCGGGCTCCCTCGGAACCGGCCTCCCCTTCCGCATTACTACCTCCTGGATTTTCCTCTTGCAGACGAGCCATAATCAGTTTCCCGGAGGCGTTTACGGAACGGATGGAAAACCCATTCCAATAGAAAAGATTGTGAACTATTTCAATGGGTCCAATTGCCCGAGTTTGAGAGGAAAACCCAAACTCTTCTTCATCCAGGCCTGTGGTGGAGGTGAATCTTTGTTTTAGCTCCCAAAGGGAGTCAGCTGTTGGGCGTAAGCAGGCTTCAGAGATGTGGTTAGGCTTTGAGTTCTTGTTCCTTTTTTGTTTGTTGCCCGTTTCTCCGGCTCTCTTCTCCTACTCTGGGCCACACATTCTCACTGCTCACGTGGGTTGAGTGTAAGGACTTGGGTGCGAGCCTCTCGTAGGAGAAACACAGACCAAGGGCTTTCATATGAATCACCTGAAGGCTCTGATTCAACCAGTGCAGCCCAAGGGCCAAAAAGCTTTCTTTTGTTGGAGGGCCTTTATTTTTTTACGTGTTTTTTTCATCTTTTCTCAATGAAGGATGTATGATCGTTGAGTGCTTGGGTAAGATGAACATCAGGGATTGTCTTGTTGTGGCTTTTTGCAGAACAAAGAGATCGAGGCTTTGTAGTGGACTGTGATTCCCCTGGGGATGAAGCTCCTGGAGGTGCTTTGGAGTCGGACGCGACTCCTTTTCGGGCTCCGGTGGGTGGCACGGACGAGCCCGATGCTGTAGCCAGTTTGCCCACGCCCAGCGACATCCTGGTCTCCTACTCCACTTTTCCAGGTGAGAGACACTGCACAAAGAAGGGGAAGTAGCAGAAAAGGTCAGAGCTTCATGGCCAAAGTCAGGGGTGGTTATGGCTCCACTGGGAGCAGCAGTAACTCAGTGAGACGAGAACAGAAGTCCAGCTTTAGCAGTGATGTTCTCGTTCTTTCTCTGAAGGCTTCGTCTCCTGGAGAGACGCCTCGAGCGGCTCGTGGTACGTGGAAACACTGGACAGGGTGCTGGAGCAATACGCCCATACAGAAGACCTGCTCAGCATGTTGCTGCGGGTAAATGTCTTTTAATTCTGCTTTTTGGAGTCACGGTGAAGGAAATAGTCAGAGGTGCAGCCACAGCACTTCCTCAGCGTGCGGTGCCACGGCAACTGTTGATTTCAAGGGAGTAGCACGAGACCCTCGTGCTAGAATGGTTTGGGTTGGAAGGGACCTTAAAGCCCCTCCAGTGCCACCCCCTGCCCTGGGCAGGGACACCTCCCACCAGCCCAGGTTGCTCCAAGCCCCCTCCAACCTGGCCTTGAACCCCTCCAGGGATGGGGCAGCCACAGCTTCTCTGGGCAACCTGGGCCAGGCTCTCACCACCCTCACACCAAACAAGTTCTTCCCCACCGGTGAAAAATTCCTTCCTAATGTTCAATCTAAACCTCCCCTGTTGGAGCTTGAAGCCGTTCCCTCTCGTTCTGTCACTAATTACCTGTGAGAAGAGACCAGCACCAACCTCTCTACAGTGTCCTTTCAAGTAGTTGTAGAGAGTGATGAGGTCTCCCCTCAGCCTCCTCTTCTTCATACTAAACAGCCCCAGCTCCTTCAGCCGCTCTTCATATGATTTGTCTTCTAGGCCACTCACCAGCTTCGTTGCCCTCCTCTGCACTCGCTCCAGCACCTCCAGATCTCTCTTGTATTGAGGTGCCCAAAACTGGACACAATACTCCAGGTGTGGCCTCCCCAGTGCTGAGTACACAATCACAATCACCTCCCTACTTCTGCTGGTCACACTATTTTTGGTACAAGCCAGATGGGAATGATGGGTGGGAGCGCAGGGAGGTCGCGCTGATCCTCATGCCGTGGTCCTTTAGTCCTTCATGTTTCTCTGGCTCTGCTGGGGGAGATGCTATTAGTGGTAAAGCCTCTTTATTGCAAGTCAGAGGCCTCGAAGAATGAGGAGAGGAGGATGTCAGGAAAACCATGTGTTATGTGTCCATTGTCCCAGAGGATGAAGGACCCTGGTGCTGGAGGAGGCAGGGTAGGAGCTGATGACAGGACGAGTCAGATTGATGGGTTTTAGAGTGTTTCAGAAGTCTCCCAGGCATCCCCTTGGGCACAAATGTGAGGAAATGAGATTTGTTCTGGTAACTTCAGGCTACAAAGCACCCGATGGGAAGCGGGCTCCCTCGGAACCGGCCTCCCCTTCCGCATTACTACCTCCTGGATTTTCCTCTTGCAGACGAGCCATAATCAGTTTCCCGGAGGCGTTTACGGAACGGATGGAAAACCCATTCCAATAGAAAAGATTGTGAACTATTTCAATGGGTCCAATTGCCCGAGTTTGAGAGGAAAACCCAAACTCTTCTTCATCCAGGCCTGTGGTGGAGGTGAATCTTTGTTTTAGCTCCCAAAGGGAGTCAGCTGTTGGGCGTAAGCAGGCTTCAGAGCTGTGGTTAGGCTTTGAGTTCTTGTTCCTTTTTTGTTTGTTGCCCGTTTCTCCGGCTCTCTTCTCCTACTCTGGGCCACACATTCTCACTGCTCACGTGGGTTGAGTGTAAGGACTTGGGTGCGAGCCTCTCGTAGGAGAAACACAGACCAAGGGCTTTCATATGAATCACCTGAAGGCTCTGATTCAACCAGTGCAGCCCAAGGGCCAAAAAGCTTTCTTTTGTTGGAGGGCCTTTATTTTTTTACGTGTTTTTTTCATCTTTTCTCAATGAAGGATGTATGATCGTTGAGTGCTTGGGTAAGATGAACATCAGGGATTGTCTTGTTGTGGCTTTTTGCAGAACAAAGAGATCGAGGCTTTGTAGTGGACTGTGATTCCCCTGGGGATGAAGCTCCTGGAGGTGCTTTGGAGTCGGACGCGACTCCTTTTCGGGCTCCGGTGGGTGGCACGGACGAGCCCGATGCTGTAGCCAGTTTGCCCACGCCCAGCGACATCCTGGTCTCCTACTCCACTTTTCCAGGTGAGAGACACTGCACAAAGAAGGGGAAGTAGCAGAAAAGGTCAGAGCTTCGTGGCCAAAGGCAGGGGTGGTTACGGCTCCACTGGGAGCGGCAGTAACTCGGTGAGATGAGAGCAGAAGCCTGGCTTTAGCGGTGACGTTCTTGTTCTTTCTCTGAAGGCTTTGTCTCCTGGAGAGACGCCTCGAGCGGCTCGTGGTACGTGGAAACGCTGGACAGGGTGCTGGAGCAATACGCCCATACAGAAGACCTGCTCAGCATGTTGCTGCGGGTAAATGTCTTTTAATTCTGCTTTTTGGAGTCACGGTGAAGGAAATAGTCAGAGGTGCAGCCACAGCACTTCCTCAGCGTGCGGTGCCACGGCAACTGGCTTTTTGCAGAACAAAGAGATCGAGGCTTTGTAGTGGACTGTGATTCCCCTGGGGATGAAGCTCCTGGAGGTGCTTTGGAGTCGGACGCGACTCCTTTTCGGGCTCCGGTGGGTGGCACGGACGAGCCCGACGCCGTAGCCAGTTTGCCCACGCCCAGCGACATCCTGGTCTCCTACTCCACTTTTCCAGGTGAGAGACACTGCACAAAGAAGGGGAAGTAGCAGAAAAGGTCAGAGCTTCGTGGCCAAAGGCAGGGGTGGTTACGGCTCCACTGGGAGCGGCAGTAACTCGGTGAGATGAGAGCAGAAGCCTGGCTTTAGCGGTGACGTTCTTGTTCTTTCTCTGAAGGCTTTGTCTCCTGGAGAGACGCCTCGAGCGGCTCGTGGTACGTGGAAACGCTGGACAGGGTGCTGGAGCAATACGCCCATACAGAAGACCTGCTCAGCATGTTGCTGCGGGTAAATGTCTTTTATTTCTGCTCTTTGGAGTCACGGTGAAGGAAATAGTCAGAGGTGCAGTCACAGCGCTTCCTCAGCGCGCGGTGGCACGGCAGCTCTTGATTTTGAGGAAGTAGCTGGCACTCACTGCAAGGGAAGGGACCTTGGGGTAATCATAGAACAGTTTGTCACGGTGAAGGAAATAGTCAGAGGTGCAGCCACAGCACTTCCTCAGCGTGCGGTGCCACGGCAACTGTTGATTTCAAGGGAGTAGCACGAGACCCTCGTGCTAGAATGGTTTGGGTTGGAAGGGACCTTAAAGCCCCTCCAGTGCCACCCCCTGCCCTGGGCAGGGACACCTCCCACCAGCCCAGGTTGCTCCAAGCCCCCTCCAACCTGGCCTTGAACCCCTCCAGGGATGGGGCAGCCACAGCTTCTCTGGGCAACCTGGGCCAGGCTCTCACCACCCTCACACCAAACAAGTTCTTCCCCACATCTCAGCTCCATCTCCCCTCTTTCAGTGTCAAACCCTTTCCCCTCCTCCTATGGCTCCCCTCCCTGATCCAGAGTCCCTCCCCAGCTTTCCTGAAGCCACTTGAGGGACTGGAAGGGGCTCAAAGGTCTCCCCGGAGCCTTCTCTTCTCCAGGCTGAACCCCCCCAACTCTCTCAGCCCCCCCTCCCAGCAGAGGGGCTCCAGCCCTCCCAGCATCTCCGCGGCCCTCTGCTGGACCCATTCCACCAGGTCCATGTCCTTCAAATGACAGGCTTCTCTTGAAGAAGGAGGGTGGAAAGGGAATGAGCTTTTAAGTAAAGACCTGAAGGGAAAGAGGAGTTTGGGGCTTACGCCGAGGAGCACCCACCGGAGGCAGTGGGGTGTGCTGGTATGGCCAGGGTTTCTTTAAAACCATTCTCCCATGAATGCCATGTCTTTTTGCTGTCAAAACCATCTCATTTTAGGAGATCTGCTTGCCGTCCCCTCCCACAGCCCCATCCCCTGTCCTTGCCACCGTGCTTCCCGTGAGAGATCGCGCCCCTGACACATCCCACTCCTCAACCCCTCTCCTTCTCTTCCCAGGTGGCCGACGCCGTCTCTGCCAAGGGGAGGTACAAACAGATCCCAGGCTGTTTCAACTTTCTCCGTAAAAAATTCTTCTTCACCTGCAAATGACCTGTGGGCTCCGAGGTCCCCGCCAAGCGGGACGGATGAAGTCTGCGCCCGCCGCGACTCGGCGTCGATGCTCCCGGTGGCCTTTGTCTGTCTGTCTGTCTTGAGATGTTTGTCTTGAGAAACCTGATCTGTGAACGCTGTTCTTGCTGTGAAATGGGGAAGCGGTGGAGCCTGGTGCTGCACCAAGGGGGAAGTGTTGGGGATGGAGCCAGGACGGGTGAAGGAATCCCCTTTGCCAGGGCACGTGCCAGCCCCGAGCCTCCGTGTTTGTGGAGGAGAGTGGCTCATTGCAACGCGGTTGCGCTCGGCCTCCTCGTATTTTTGTATGATGATGGTGATGTTTGTGTCCTTTCTGCCTGTACGACCCAGTGATGGAGCCAGGGTCTGGTGCTTGTGTGGAATTGTGTGATTTTTGCAATCGATATTTTCCAATCGATATTTTGCATTCGATATTTTTCACTTTCTCAATAAAACGCAGTGAAAAATGGAAAAAGAAATGGTTTGCGTTGTATTCCCTCGTCCTTTCCCATTTCAGCATCTCCCAAAGGCTTCTCTAAACTGGGAAGAGCCAGAAAAACCTTGCTCGTGTGAATTTTTGGCCTCCTGCAGGTACAAGTACCGTTTCTAATGCGGCTTCCAAGCACCCGGGGGAGGATGTTGAGGAGTTGATTGATGATCCAGGAGTTGATCAGATGCCACTAAGGAAACCAAGGCAGATTCTTTCAGATATCAGAGCTGAGTTACAGCCCTGGCCCTGATGAGCTACTGAGGTGACAGTTTGGGGTCAGAAACCCTAGATGTACGTGGGAATTTGGGGGGGAACCACCCTCGCAGACTGAGGAGCTGCCCTGCTGGGTGGGATGCTTGGGATGCTGGCCATCGCCAACCTGCGTCTGCAGTCACTTGGTATTTCCATGCCCCATCTCTTGGCAGCATTTTGGGTACTTTTAGGCAATGATTTAGAGTGATTCTCTGCCTGGGGTTTAGGTTTAACTATTTTTCAAAGGGTGCTGGGGCTTGAGTGATAGCAAAAATTGCTGAAAACCTGAAAATCCAGGCACAGGCTTCCTCTAGTATCCTAAAGTTCCCACTAATTGTTGCAATTCTTTCCTTGATTGGGGCATTTGCAGTTCTTCAATTTTCCTTAAAAGTATCTGGGGGAATCAGGGCACTGCCTGCTCTCCAGCAAGTACCTATACAAATTTTTACATGGTCCCTGGCATTTTCCAGGTGGAACCTCAATTTCTGCTCTTTTTAGTGCTTCCCCCACCGCCATAAACTGACCTCAGCAGTTTGACATAGATCAGTTTAAAAGTATCTGGGGGAATCAGGGCACTGCCTGCTCTCCAGCAAGTACCTATACAAATTTTTACATGGTCCCTGGCATTTTCCAGGTGGAACCTCAATTTCTGCTCTTTTTAGTGCTTCCCCCACCGCCATAAACTGACCTCAGCAGTTTGACATAGATCAGTTCCCCCCTTCACACCTGGGATTCCCAGACCCCTGTGGAGCCCTAGGGACCCCAATGGACTCCCCAGACCCCTATGGACCATCCCAGAGCTCTAGGGACTACTATGGACCCCCCCCCCCGCCCGCTCTCCAGCAAGTACCTATACAAATTTTTACATGGTCCCTGGCATTTTCCAGGTGGAACCTCAATTTCTGCTCTTTTTAGTGCTTCCCCCACCGCCATAAACTGACCTCAGCAGTTTGACATAGATCAGTTCCCCCCTTCACACCTGGGATTCCCAGACCCCTGTGGAGCCCTAGGGACCCCAATGGACTCCCCAGACCCCTATGGACCATCCCAGAGCTCTAGGGACTACTATGGCCCCCCCCCCCCAGACTCCTGTGGAGCCCTATTGACCCCCACGGACTCCCTCGTATGAACAAACAGAAGAAAAACACTCGACCCAAAAGAAGGTAACAGGCAGCTCTTAATTTATCCTAGACAAAAGTTTGTTCTCTTACCCCAAAGGAAGACGTTCCTAATTACCAAGGGCCTGATTCCAGCAGGAGGCACGCTCTGTTAACTGCAATTCCTCATCAGCTTTTCTACACTGGCAGCAAACTTGCCTTTTCTGTGAGTTGGACGTGGAGCATCTGTAGCGTCCCTGATCTCGCAAACGTTTCTCAGCAAGAATAATCAGCCTTCAGGACTTCCTTCCCGCCCCACAGAAGGTGACCCTGAGAAAAGAAGAGGTGAAAAACAACTGTTTGTCACACCCAGCCAATGGGACCAGCCGGGAGCCCCCCAGCTAACCTGAGGGACAGCCCTGCCTGTGCCCTGGACGGATGGACTGTGGCCCAGACGGATGATGGATGCTCCAGCCAACAGACTAATTGCAGCTCCTGCTCATTACTGCTGCTGGCAGTCTTGCCTCTGGCTAATGTACGCTCCTGGCCAGCTCCTGTTTGCCACAGCTCTGGCTAATCCGAGCCCCCACTCTGCACTGAAGCTCCAGTCCATTTCAGCTGCTTCTCCCTACAAGCTCCAGCTGTTTGCAACAGTTTGGGCTTTTGACCATCACAGCTGTATATAGTATAAATATCAAGTAGTTTGAATGACTATTTAATTAATAGCTATTCTAAAAAGTAAAAAAAAAAAAAGCTGGACACGAAGAGGGTGTGTGAGGTCTAAAAAAGTGCAAAGGCAGTGCAAATGCAGCCAGGAAGGCAAAGGGGTGTTTACTAACTCACAAACATAGTGAGTCCTAGAAGTGAGTCTGCTCCAGGACTCGGGGTCCTCAACACTCCCTCTGCCCCTGGGACACCTCGACAGTCATTCCCAGAGCTGGGCTTGTTGGTTCAGCAGGGAACAGACAGTCAGCTGGCTCCTGGAGCGATGGGTGGCTGGGCAGAGGTAGAGGCTGCCAAAAATGAGGAGTAGGGTGCATGGCACTGAGAGCAGAAGAGAAAAAAAGAAGCAACTGGCTGGACAGGAGCCTGAAACAAGAAAGGATAAGGAAGGGAATGGGACAGTGACAGAAAGAGAGGGACAGGAATCCCAACAGAGATGGAGAAAGAAGCAGCAGGGTGAGAGAAAAAGAGGCAGCAGGAAGACGGAGAGGTAACAGGGCAGAGATCAACAGAGAAGGAAGGGGAGCAGAATGGAGGATGTAGAAAAAACCTGGGAAGGCACTATGACAGAGAGGGAATAAGAAAGAATAGGGGCAGGGAGAGAAGGACAAAAATGAGATAAAGTACAAAGCAGAGAGGGAGGAATTAATAGAGACAGGAAACCAGAGAGATGGAAAACTAAAGAATAGCAATGGGCTACAAGACAGATAGGGAGGAAACAGAAAATAGCGGCAGGGAGCCAGACAGAGCAAGATGGTAAAAGAAAATAATAGCGATGGGTTAAAGGGCAGAGATGGAGACCCCCAAAAATAGTGACTGAGGGCCAGACAGAGAAAGATTGAGACTGGAAAAACCACGACAGCAGTGTGGAAAATTTTAAAAAGTAGGGATCGAGCGCCATGTAGAGGATGGAGAAAGGAAAAAAAAAATGACGGGCTGGAGGGTAGAAAGGGAAAAAAAATAAAAAATAGGGACTGGGAACCAGACAGACAGCGATGGAGAAAGAAAAAAAAAAAGTGATATCAGAGCGGGAAGAATTAAAGAATCGGGGCAGGGAGAGACGGAGAAAGACGTCCAAAAATGTACCGTTTCCACTGGCCAGCGGCGAGCCGGCGGGTGTGCAGAGAGCCAACCGGCGGAACGGCGCACCGCACCGCCCACCGCTCGTCATCGCGCCGCGCCGCAGCGAGGGCCTGGCCGCCGCCATGGTGCAGCTCGGTGAGTGCCCGCGGACCCGGGGACCGGACCGGCCTAGGCCCCTGACCGCCCCGAGGGGCCCGGCCCGGCCTAGGCCCTGACCGCCCCAGGCCCTCACCGCCCCGCGGGGCTCGGCCTAGCCCCTAGCCCGCGGGGCCCGGCCCGGCCTAGTCCCCTGACCGCCCCAGGCCCTGACCGCCCCGCATAGCCCGGCCCGGATCTAGCCCCCTGACCGCCCTGAGGGGCCGGGCCCGGCCCGGCCTAGGCCCTGACCGCCCCGCGGGGCCCTGCCCGGCCCGGCCTGGCCTAGGCCCTGACCGCCCCGCGGGGCCCTGCCCGGCCCGGCCTAGCCCCCTGACCGCCCCAGGCCTTGACCGCCCCGCGGAGCCCGGCCCGGCCTAAGGCCCAGACCGCCCGCGGGGCCCGGCCCGGCCTAGCCCCCTGACCACCCCGAGGGTCCCGGCGCGGCCTAGGCCCTGACCGTCCTGAGGGGCCCGGCGCGGCCTAACCCCCTGACCGCCCCTCGGGGCCCGGCCCAGCCCCCTGACCACCCCGCGCTCTCTCCGCAGGCCGCCACCTCCTGAAGGGCTACCGGGGCGGGCACGTCGTGATCCGCTTCGCCCTGGGAGGCTGCACCAACCGGCCTTTCTTCCGCATCGTGGCGGCGCACAGCCGGCGGGCTCGCGACGGAAAATACCTGGAGCAGCTGGGCTGCCTCGACCCGCTGCCCAACGCTCACGGCGAGCGGGTGGCGGGGCTCGAGAGGTAACAGGGCAGAGATCAACAGAGAAGGAAGGGGAGCAGAATGGAGGATGTAGAAAAAACCTGGGAAGGCACTATGACAGAGAGGGAATAAGAAAGAATAGGGGCAGGGAGAGAAGGACAAAAATGAGATAAAGTACAAAGCAGAGAGGGAGGAATTAATAGAGACAGGAAACCAGAGAGATGGAAAACTAAAGAATAGCAATGGGCTACAAGACAGATAGGGAGGAAACAGAAAATAGCGGCAGGGAGCCAGACAGAGCAAGATGGTAAAAGAAAATAATAGCGATGGGTTAAAGGGCAGAGATGGAGACCCCCAAAAATAGTGACTGAGGGCCAGACAGAGAAAGATTGAGACTGGAAAAACCACGACAGCAGTGTGGAAAATTTTAAAAAGTAGGGATCGAGCGCCATGTAGAGGATGGAGAAAGGAAAAAAAAAATGACGGGCTGGAGGGTAGAAAGGGAAAAAAAATAAAAAATAGGGACTGGGAACCAGACAGACAGCGATGGAGAAAGAAAAAAAAAAAGTGATATCAGAGCGGGAAGAATTAAAGAATCGGGGCAGGGAGAGACGGAGAAAGACGTCCAAAAATGTACCGTTTCCACTGGCCAGCGGCGAGCCGGCGGGTGTGCAGAGAGCCAACCGGCGGAACGGCGCACCGCACCGCCCACCGCTCGTCATCGCGCCGCGCCGCAGCGAGGGCCTGGCCGCCGCCATGGTGCAGCTCGGTGAGTGCCCGCGGACCCGGGGACCGGACCGGCCTAGGCCCCTGACCGCCCCGAGGGGCCCGGCCCGGCCTAGGCCCTGACCGCCCCAGGCCCTCACCGCCCCGCGGGGCTCGGCCTAGCCCCTAGCCCGCGGGGCCCGGCCCGGCCTAGTCCCCTGACCGCCCCAGGCCCTGACCGCCCCGCATAGCCCGGCCCGGATCTAGCCCCCTGACCGCCCTGAGGGGCCGGGCCCGGCCCGGCCTAGGCCCTGACCGCCCCGCGGGGCCCTGCCCGGCCCGGCCTGGCCTAGGCCCTGACCGCCCCGCGGGGCCCTGCCCGGCCCGGCCTAGCCCCCTGACCGCCCCAGGCCTTGACCGCCCCGCGGAGCCCGGCCCGGCCTAAGGCCCAGACCGCCCGCGGGGCCCGGCCCGGCCTAGCCCCCTGACCACCCCGAGGGTCCCGGCGCGGCCTAGGCCCTGACCGTCCTGAGGGGCCCGGCGCGGCCTAACCCCCTGACCGCCCCTCGGGGCCCGGCCCAGCCCCCTGACCACCCCGCGCTCTCTCCGCAGGCCGCCACCTCCTGAAGGGCTACCGGGGCGGGCACGTCGTGATCCGCTTCGCCCTGGGAGGCTGCACCAACCGGCCTTTCTTCCGCATCGTGGCGGCGCACAGCCGGCGGGCTCGCGACGGAAAATACCTGGAGCAGCTGGGCTGCCTCGACCCGCTGCCCAACGCTCACGGCGAGCGGGTGGCGGGGCTCAACCTGGAGCGGCTGCGGTACTGGCTGGGCTGCGGCGCGCAGCTCTCCCGCCCGGCGGAGAAGCTGCTGGGTAGGCGCGGGGCAGGGCCGGGGCGGTGCGGGGACGGGGTGCGGGGGGTTCTCGCCGCGGCTCACCGCCTCTTCCTGCAGGTCTGGCGGGGTTCCTGCCCCTCCACCCCATGACGGTGACCGGCGCCGAGAGGCTGCGGCGGCGGCGGCGGGTACAAGAGGCAGTCTCAGCTCCTGCAGAGGGCTCGGCCGGGCCCGGCGATGCGCCCTGAGGGAAGGGCCCCGGCGAGAAGCAGCCCCAGGCAGGACCCTGCCCTCCCTCCTCGGCACATCTGGCGGCATTAAAGTGTCATTTGCGCACCCTACGCTGTCCAGGCCCTGCTCTCTCCTGACTCCGCTCTGAAAAGTTTACTGTCGCTGCCGAATTTGGTGCAGCAAATCCAAACGGGGTTTTCCCACTATAATATAGGTACAGAACCACTCCGGGAGGCACTTACAGCCATTCCTAAAGGCACGTTATTAGCTCTATCACATTGCTTTCTGCAGCAATGCCATGACTACTGCCAGCTTCCACTCACCAAGCGTTTGGTCTCCTGGCTCCGATTCACTGTGTTGGGACAGTCCTGGCAGACAAATGCAAAGGAGACTGCATCTATTTGTGTAGACGGTGTTTCTGTTTTGTTTCTCCACAGAGGGTTCTGGGCCGTTCTGTTAATTTACAAGCAGAAGGGAAAGAATTAGTCTCGGGTAAAGAGGGAGTGGGGTTTGCATGAAACGAGATACGTCTTACTACTTCGTCACGTATTTGACCCTATCCCAAGAAGCAAGAAACCCACTGAAATCTCTCTCCTACCTCAGTGACACCTCTTGCTTTTTGGGGTTTCCTTTGGCGCAATTCTCACAACACGATTCTACGAAGGTCGGGCAAAGACCCATGTTGAGTTTTGCATCTCATCAAGGCTGTAACTGACCCAATAGAGGAACAGCAGAAAACACTCTAAGAAAAGGTTTGGCTTGCTCTTATAAAAAATTCACAGTACTGAGAATGAGTGGTTTTATTACTGCTTATGGATGAAAGAGTAAATGATTAAAAAACTATTCTTGGAAGTAGATGAGGCTGTGAAAGGTGATATTGCTTTTCTCATACCTTCCCCTTCTATGTATTTAATGCGTTTGGAGTCACATTTTACATAAAATGATGACTGTACTCTGGTACAGGGTTTCTAGAAGTTCCTCTGTAGCTTACTCTAGATTTTACTGCTTCAGAGGTAAAGGTTTGCATCTGCACAGTTCTTCCTATTGTAATCTAAAGGTACCACACAGCGAGCTTTCTGCTTCAAACAGAGGAAGGTAGCTCTGTAAGGTTTCTTTTGAGCCAGTTTTGTGGAGACCTGGCTCTTTTCCTATGAAGTTATTAAATAAAGGATCCCACAATCATACACAAGGCAGTAAAATAGTGCTTTCATGCCCTTTTGAATACTGACGGCTATGGGGGTGCTCTGTAATGCAACAGGGTGAGTGTGAGTTTTGCATCTCATCAAGGCTGTAACTGACCCAATAGAGGAACAGCAGAAAACACTCTAAGAAAAGGTTTGGCTTGCTCTTATAAAAAATTCACAGTACTGAGAATGAGTGGTTTTATTACTGCTTATGGATGAAAGAGTAAATGATTAAAAAACTATTCTTGGAAGTAGATGAGGCTGTGAAAGGTGATATTGCTTTTCTCATACCTTCCCCTTCTATGTATTTAATGCGTTTGGAGTCACATTTTACATAAAATGATGACTGTACTCTGGTACAGGGTTTCTAGAAGTTCCTCTGTAGCTTACTCTAGATTTTACTGCTTCAGAGGTAAAGGTTTGCATCTGCACAGTTCTTCCTATTGTAATCTAAAGGTACCACACAGCGAGCTTTCTGCTTCAAACAGAGGAAGGTAGCTCTGTAAGGTTTCTTTTGAGCCAGTTTTGTGGAGACCTGGCTCTTTTCCTATGAAGTTATTAAATAAAGGATCCCACAATCATACACAAGGCAGTAAAATAGTGCTTTCATGTCCTTTTGAATACTGACGGCTATGGGGGTGCTCTGTAATGCAACAGGGTGAACCATGAGCATCAGCCACTGCTGTTGCAAGGCACAGTAATTGCTAACACCAGGTGAAAGAAGGGGGTACTAAGAGGAGAGTTTGGCGGTACTGCTTTCCGCGGTGGCTCCTCGGTGTGTCCCTTCTCCTGCCTGTTGTCTCCTGTCCCCTGCTAAGGCATCTGCTACACCAAGAAACAACATGCAACTGATGGGAGGGGACTTAGAGAAAAGCCTGTTTCTCCTCACCTAACTCCATCGTCTGTGCAAGCAGTGGCTCTGTTTCTTCTTGGGGACCAAAAGAATGACTTTGTCAGCATTCCTAAATTGTTGCATGTGGATCAGAAGAATAGTTTGTGCAATGATGTGCACCCTCTAGACCACAGTAAACCCAGCCTCCCCCCAGAAGCAGGGTGATGCAGAGTACCACGCACCAGTATGGGACAGCCCGAGCTTTTTAAAAATACTAATTCAAAAAAGGCATACCAAGCTTCTAAAGCGTAATTCAGATAGCTGCTACAATACCACGCACCAGTATGGGACAGCCCGAGCTTTTTAAAAATACTAATTCAAAAAAGGCATACCAAGCTTCTAAAGCGTAATTTAGATAGCTATGATGCTGTCAGTGGGTGAAAGCTGTGAACAAACTACAATGAGCACTTCTAGTATCTTGCAAATGGTAAGATGTGCAGTGCCAGAAAAAGGGTATTGCTGTAGCCTCCCAGAGTTTGGTAGAGAAAACCTGCAGCTGTTAGCTACAAGTGCTGAATGCCATTTAGGCTTTGGGCTGAACCTGCCTTTTAAAAGATTAGTTGATACCTTTCTTTGGAGCCACGGTGACCTGTTGCTTAAGGAGTCCATACATAGTAACGTATCGTACACAAATGTAGGTTCAAGGATGTATGTTGCTATAGACACCGCACCAAATACTGTCTCTAGAGCTAGGGCAAGAGGAAGAATTTTCCTTTTTTGGTAGGAGGAAGCTATTAAACTTACTCAGCTCTATTGTCACTTTCCCCTCTTCCCCCAGGTGTGTGGGCTTAAAAAAATACTTGCATACAAGGAGTGTGCGTAAGCCAGAAGCAGAGCAGAGTATTATCAGGCTGACACACAGCAAAAGCTAGGCTCGAAGAAAGCTGCAGATGAAGCTTGAACCTCTAGCTTAGTAATTCTTTGTAGCATTTGATAGCAATATTGTTAAACTCATTGTTTTAGTAGTTCTCATAAGCAATATTGTTAAACTCATTGTTTTAGTAGCTCTCGTAAGGTTGGTTAGCACTGTACTCACACAACCCAAAATCTTCATTTCTGTTCTGATGTTGCAGTTTCCTCTGCTGGCTGTTCCGTTGGCTATGGAAGTTTGTTATCCTTTGTTTGAGAAAGCTATCGCTGGATCCTAGAAAAAGCAAAAACAGACAAAAAAGCTTACATACAGCTTATATACATGGCAAATACTGCATCAATCCTATTGCAGACTGTTTGTCAGACTGCTACTCTGTATGTATTTCACATTTGAATTCTCATCTGATTAATATTACTCATTGCCCGCTTTCTTCCTGCTCCTGGAATACTTCCATTTTCCATACACCTGGCAAGCTGATGAAGCACTCTCCTCTTCATTTACTGTTAACTATTAGCACTATTTGGGTATTGAACTATGCTGTTGTCTTTCAGATCTAAAGTAAAACTCCTTGGCTACCGCTGGGGGTGGGGACATTAGGCAACAAGCTGCATACACCAAAAATTCACATTATTCCACGCATTTACCATTTTTGCACAGGACACATGAGAGCGAGCGAGCGTGCTGGCAAGGCTTTTAACATGAAGAACTCCTTGGACAGTGTACAACACTGACTTCCCAGAACCTTCAAACCTGTTAGGAGACAACATGGATGGCAATACCAAGGAAACTAAGGATTCTAGTAAAAGACCTCTAATCAGTCTAAGCCTGAAATTTGCCACCCTAAAGGCCAGCCCACTTTAAATAGCACCTTCCTCTCCACTGACCCTGCTACAGAAGCAGCAGCCTGGGGCAGAGGAACAGCAATGGAAAGTTGCAGTAATTTCCTTAGTGAACATCAACAAAAACCTTCTCGGCAGAAAAGCTAGGCAAAATGAATCATTATGTCTTAACAACTGGAGGTATAGAAAATGTAAGTTTAGATAGATAAAATGGATGCTGGAGCATTTCAGCTCCAGTAGTCCTAGAATTTTCAAGATGTTTATTGTACTTAATGCAATCCACTGGGTGTTGTTACAGTAACAGCATCTAAAAGTCTCTCACTAAGGCTGTATTCCAGTCTGAGGGAGGAAGAATATACATTAAAAAAGCCACCTTTTACCTGAAGAGAAATCCTTTTTTTAATAAAATAAAGTGTATGTCCTATAGAGTACAAGATGCTTAATTACTTGTTAGTAAAAAATAAATTGTCTGGACAACTCTTTTCAAATAGTTCCCAAAGTAGTTGTTCTTTTTTTATATATAAAGTCATGCACATTTATTTGATTTGATTCCTGAAAAGGCTTATTTTCTTCATTCAAAGATACAGTGGAAGTTCCAAAACCATTAGGTTTTCTTTTTTGAGATACAGCAGAGGTTGAATGAACTGCAAACACACACTGGAATGGCTACAGCTGGCTTAATTACAAACATGACACAACTGATTAGATGCTTTTCTCCATCCCTTTCCCCATTTTCCCTACTTCTGTACATGTGCTATAAACACATTTATGAACATCCACAAATAACTGCCATCAAGCAACCTTTAATGGTAAGGACTTAGTCAAAATTAACCTTTAGGCACCGCTGAAGAGATTAAACCACAGCACGGCATAAAATCACTTTTCTGCCTAAACTCATGCATCTTACTTCTAAACAGCAGCTCGCAGATTTAGACTGAATATTTGAAGCATTTGGATTCCAAAAGGTAAACATCACTTTCCAGCTCACAGTTCAACAGTGACCACATACAGTAATTTCTGTAAAACGTAAAATGTATGACAAAGGAAGAGAATAAGCAAGTAAGAAATGCCTCTTTTTTAAGTTATATCTATGGATTTGGTGCAACTTCCAACTGCATGGATTTTTTCCAGACACCACCAGTACTGCTCAAAGCCCCATATTAACATACCTTGACGCTGACTTAAGAGTACTATGTATGTAAACACTACATAAATACATATGGAAAATAAAGTCCATATCCCATAAAATAGAAAATGTAATATATACTCTATTAGGTAATGCATAGGGGCATAGCAATAGTTTTAAAACTATATAAATGCATTTAATAATATTATTTACAAATGGAACCAGAGACAGAGATTACCATCAAATACATTTGATTTCATCAATTCTATGAATCTTTTGAAGATCCTCACTTACAGCAAAATGATCTGCAATTCCAGATACCTAGAAAAAGAAAGTGCTCCTGATCTGTTTAGTGCAATGATGCTGGCTACAAAACTTAAGAGGAGAAAACATTCTAAGAACTAGTACTGCATTAGCTAGTGGGACAAAAAAACAAACAAACAAACACATTTTTGAGTTTAAAAGTCTGGTAAGATAAGGAAGAGAAATTAAGGTTACACAGCGGACGAACAAGAAAAGAAAACTTCTCGAAAGTCAAGTCTTCAGATTCTCAGAAATCAGAAGCACCAAAGGTTCTCATGCTATTTTTGTTCCAGCTTCATCCTGAACATTCTTGGAGACAGCTGTGCCATAATCAAGGAAATGGCATGTCACAGACATTCCTGCAGATACAACACTACATAAGCCCAAACAAAGAAAAGAAAGATTAATAGACTTATCAATCTGAGAGTCTTTTACCTCTGAGTGTTTGACTTTATAACTTCAGTAGTGCTCCTCCATTTAAGTAAATACTGAGTATCACAAAACTTGCTTCTCAAGTAAAAAAAAAATAAATACTCAGGAATAGGCAATAAAAATGAAATGTTCTTACAAGAACCTCTCACAACAAGGTGTGCATTGTGCTTTCAGCACTGGAGTACAGTAAGCCACAACAGCTAAAGATTACACAAGTTATTTCATCTTGGCATCGCAGATCAAGCATCAGAATAAACTCAGGTGGACATTCAAGTACAACTCACTTAAAAGGAGTGACCGTCCAGAGAAAACCCTTTTTCTGGACCTAAAGACCAGGTGAGCAAAAGCAACCTCTACAGGGATGCAATGCACAACACAAGTAAACATCAAAATGCCCATCAGCTTTGGTAAACCTTGGCTGCCAACCCAAATACAGAGGCAGAGTGACAGGAATCCTAGAAATAGTTGTAACTTTATTTCCATTTTCATCTTTGCTCTCAAGACTTAAAAGGCTCCTGGGCTTAACTGGAACTTTTATGAGATCTCACACATTCACCACCTTCCAAAATCAGATCAATCAAGAATTCTCACAAATAATGACAAAGCCCTTTTACTAGTTTCAATGAGATACGGAAGATGCAGCTCTAGCTGACAAGTACTTAATCACTGATCCTCATGCAGATTTTAAAATGTCACAAGGTACAACTGTATGAAAAACAAGGATGATGTGCTGCAGGCTTTCACACAAATGATTCTTCTTAAATTTTCAACTCGAGAGTAAGCTTCTACCCAAGAAAGTTGATACAAAAAGACACTTCTCCCCAAAGCTGCGTTACAGCCAACTGCCCATCTTCCTGCTAAGTCATCACAAGCCCTTGTAGTCTTAGTTAAAAGTCTAATGTGGAAGGAAATATGCACATATTGGCAACCATCACCGTGGACCACAGCCAGAACCTACAGAGGAGGGGCTGGGAGCTGGGTCACTGCGGTTTCACCCCACGGCAGCTCCTTGGGACAGTTCTGCTGGTGGGAGCTCTGAATGCCCAGGAGCCTGGCCATGGCACTTGACAGAGTACTTGTGCCCCCCGAGCGAGACCAGTTGCTCTCAGCCTTTCCACAGTTTTGAAACGTGCCCTCCAGAACCAGGCCTGCCACGGGCAGAGGCTGTGACCTGCAGGTTGGCCTCATCACTGCCCGAGGCCTCACGAGAGTCACCACATCCTTCAGCAACAGAGGACCAGGCTGCTCTGCATGGCTGAGAGATGGCACCTTCTGCCCATGGAGCAGTGGCAGCGCTGCAGCAGCATCTGCAGCCCTGCAGCTTGCTGTCACCCTGCCCAGGCACCAGACTTCCAGGTCCCCTGGAATCACCACTTGTTCCCCTGGGAGTGATGGCACCACGGGGCAGCTGAAGGGAATGGCCCCACGCTGACATCACCTCTTCCTGTCGTTGTGGCCCCGAGGCACCGATGGGCTTTTGCCACCTTGGGGGAAGGATGAGCGGTGCCAGCTGCCACTGACTTGCTCCTCACCCTCCCGTGGGCAGGGGAAAGCTCAACAAAGCCAGCGTAGACATTCTTGCCATTTGCCGTGCCCGCTGCTGCTGTCCTGGAGGCGCAGGAGCCCACCACTCTGTGATGGGGAGGCCGAAGGCGATGCAATGAGGCAGTGGAGGCTGTGGTGGCTTCTCCCAGTTATTCGTTCCGGGCACGAGGCAAGAGCGGGCGCTGCTCCTCAGTGGGTGGCAGCTCCTCGCTGGGCGGCGACTCGTAGGTGACGCAAAGGGAGGAGAAGAGACAGCCCAGGAAGGACACCAGGCTGGCGAAGTACATGGCACCGCTGGCGCTGCCCACAGCTGCCGTCAGCGGCCCCATGGCCAGGGCCACGAGGATCTGAGCCAAGAAGTACTGGCAGCTCAGCAGGGAGATGTCAACGCCCATCCCGCGCCGCGTGCCCTCCGCCTGCGAGCCTACAAACTGCGGGGGACACAGCGTAAGGGGAGGTGGGGGAGCCCCTCTGCCCTCCCCGGCCCAGGGCTCACCTCCTGGCTCTGGTAGTAGTCGCAGAGCAGAGAGTATGGCAGCGTGCAGAGCGTGGCGAAAAGGATGCCGTAGGTAGCGCAGAGTGACAGCACCACGTAGATGTTTCTGGAGAGCGTGGCCAGCCCCGTGCCCAACCCGAAGGCCAAATATGCCACAAAGTACAGCGTCCGTGTGCTGAACCGCTCCTCCAGCTTCTCCAGCAGGGCTGCAAGACAATGGCATGGCATTCGGGGGTGAACCACAGCCCTCCCTGCTGCTGGTCAGTCACCAGACCCAAGGGATGCACCCTCAGGCCCCACAGCCCAGCTGTTGGGCAGCCACATCTCAGCAGCCACCATCAAGACCTTTGAGTAACAGATCACTCACAAACAAGAGCCAAGGACCCCTTCCAAACCCCACTGCCGCAATGCAGCCTTGGTGCCCTACCTGTGTGGAGACCATGGCAGTGTCCCCTGTCCCAGGAGGGGGAAATGGGAACTGTTTGGGGGTGAGGGGGCAACACATGACACACGACAAGGTGCCAGGGTGGTGCGTGACACCAGGCGCTCTGTCAGGGGCACGCTGGCACCAGGTGTGTTGCACCAGAACTCTTCCTCTTGTGGCTGTGTGTCCTTCTGAATTCAACATACATAGAAAATGCCACTTGTGAAAGGAACTGCATACTAAGAGAGATGTGTTTTCACCAGACTGCTGACCTCATCTGCTGTCAGAGCAGGCCAAGCTAACTAGCAGAGATAATGCAGTGAAAAAGAACACTCTGCTTCAGAACTCGTGCCACGTGGCAGGCTACGTGCAACACAAGTGTTAGACTCATTGCAGAAACACTGCTCAAGGAGCGGGAGCACCTTTCTCACAGCAGAGGCCAGGATGGCTGTACTAAGTACCTGAGTAGAAAGCAGCACTGAATGCATAGATGCACATTCCCCAGCAGCCCATGGTGACCCCAGCGTTGTACTTCTGATACTCATCTGAGTTGTGAGGTGCTTTCGGATTCCCTTGAAACACTACTTCTCCCATGAAGTCGGTATAGAAGAGTAACATCCCCTCGAACGAGAGCCATCCTGAAAGAAGCCAGAAGTAACCTATTAGAATTGGAGAGTGTCTGTTTCCCCTTGTAAGCTTACATGGGTGCTGTGAGCTGTATTACCAATGGCAACTGAAGACAGGCTATGCAACGAGAGTATCACGTCACGTTCAGCCACGTTTATCTGCGACTGCTGTTCCCCATGCATTATGGTACAACGTTTGTCAAAGACCAAGACATCCTCTGAATTCCTAAGCAGAATCCTAGAGGCCACAGAATACTGGTTTAGCAAGACAGAAAAACGGATTACAGTAGTCTGAGCTGCCCTCTGGTTTTGACAGGGCAAAACACTCCGTTTCAGAGTTGCTCATCACACAGTCCTTTAAAGTTGCTGTTGTCCTCCCACAAAGAACTGGAAGAAACGCTTCTTACGTCATGACTGCAGTCTCCTGAGCATCTCTGACACAGAATACTGGTTTAGCAAGACAGAAAAACAGATTACAGCAGTCTGAGCTGCCTTCTGGTTTTGACAGGGCACAACACTCGGTTTCAGAGTTGCTCATCACACAGTCCTTTAAAGTTGCTGTTGTCCTCCCACAAAGAACTGGAAGAAACGCTTCTTACGTCATGACTGCAGTCTCCTGAGCATCTCTGACACAGTTAAAAACTCCTACTCCTACAAACTGGCTTCATGGCCATTGATGCAGGCAATCTCTTCTTTTCTTTCACAGCCAATGAGGGTTAACTACCTGTTACCTTCTGTCCAATTTTGTGTAAACTGGATTGCTTGCAAAACAATCCCTTCACTCACATACTGTAACAGCAAAGGTAACAGTGAGTGGTTACAGCTGCTCCTGCAGCATTGTGTTTGTGTCCCCTCACAGCCTGTTCTGGGACCCCTACACCCATGCTGTCAAAGGGAGGGAAGCAAAAGCTGGTCACACAGTTAAAAACTCCTACTCCTACAAACTGGCTTCATGGCCATTGATGCAGGCAATCTCTTCTTTTCTTTCACAGCCAATGAGGGTTAACTACCTGTTACCTTCTGTCCAATTTTGTGTAAACTGGATTGCTTGCAAAACAATCCCTTCACTCACATACTGTAACAGCAAAGGTAACAGTGAGTGGTTACAGCTGCTCCTGCAGCATTGTGTTTGTGTCCCCTCACAGCCTGTTCTGGGACCCCTACACCCATGCTGTCAAAGGGAGGGAAGCAAAAGCTGGTCTCAGGTGTAAGCAGGGAAATACAAATAATTTCGTTTCTCACCCCAGTAATGCAAGTTTTCTCAGGTGTAAGCAGGGAAATACAAATAATCTCGTCTCTCACCTCAGTAATGAAAGTTTCAGAGCGTTAAAAAAAAAAAAAAGGGATCGAGGGTTTCAAGTTCTCCATTCAGCAGTGTTTCTCATCCCAGTGTAAATATTCCATTTAACAGATGTGCTGATTTAGGCCATTGTTATTCCTTTCCTAGGAACGTAGGCTTTACTATTTTATTGTTGTTGTTTTGTGGTGGTTTTTTCTTTTCTTTCTCAGTGGTCTAAGAAACTAAATACCAGAAAGTACCTTATAGAATCATAGAATGGTTTGGGTTGGAAGGGACCTCAAAGATCATCGAGTTCCAACCCCCCTGCCATGGGCAGGGACACCTCCCACTAGAGCAGGTTGCTCAAGGCCACATCCAGCCTGGCCTTGAACCCCTCCAGGGATGGGGCAGCCACAGCTTCTCTGGGCAACCTGTTCCAGTGTCTCACCACCCTCATAGTAAAAAATTTCTTCCTGAGATCTAATCTGAATCTTTTTTCTCCCAATTTAAACCCATTTCCCCTTGTCCTATCATTACCCTTCCTGGCAAAGAGTCCCTCCCCAGCTCTTCTATAGGCTCCCTTCAGATATTGAAAGGCCGCTATAAGGCCTCCCCGGAGCCTCCTCTTCTCCAGGCTTGTTGGTGAGAGTATATAGAACAAATCATATCCTCTCTAGTTAGCAGCCATTGCAACAATAGATAATTATTTAAAAGCATTCACAGGAGGTAAGCTACGTCACGGTGAAAGCAAGATGGCACTTTCTGAATACCTAGGAAGTGGTTGATGCAGAGGTTACGAAGAGCCTTGGGCATCCGACAGATGGTGGAACAAAGAAGCTTCACAGACAGTGGTTGCTCTGAGGTCTCCCCCGATCCATTCAGCTCGCTCTCATACTTAACACCATTCAGCAAGATATTAGCAACCTGCATCAGAAGAACTCCCAGGTGAAACAACACAGTAAGACAAACCCAAACATCCTTTAAGCAAACCTATGCAATATTACACACCTCTCTGATCAGCTGAAAGTTAAGCTCTGTTGCTGGACTGTGTTGAATTGGAGATTAAGAACAGTGTATTTAGCTAGACTGTTAAATTCAGCCTTGGAACAAGTGTTAAATGACAGCATTGTGCTGCAGCTTTCAGTATACTTGAAACAGTACTCCTCATTTCCCTAGGGTATTTGGCAACCACATCCAGATGCTAGCGTAGGGAAGGCACAAATTCCATTGCATTCAACAGGAGCTGTACCCACATTCAGGTGAATTTGGTTCCTGAAGTTCTAGAGACATCAAGTAAGAAGAGGCTGGTTTTAATTAAAACACATTCTCATTGCTTGCTAAGCTTGATGCTCGATCTCTGTGTGCACAGTATGTAATAACCTTGCCCTAACGAAGTCTATTCTCATAAACTGAGTCAAAATACAGCAACAAACAAACAAACAAACCAAAACAAACAAACAAAACCCCCACACACACCTCCCCCCAAAAAAACCAAACCAAAAAAAAACAGAGGACAGTTTACCTCATCTTGGATCATAAAAAAATTGGCCAGCATACAGAGGTCTCAGACATTCCAAGTTATCACCAACAGTGGGAGATGAGGTCAGAGTCTTATCCCTGTGTAAGGGAAACCTCACCTCCCTGATGGAACCAGATGTAATGACTGCCATAAGGAGAAGCTCATGGGAGAATCCTATCCCTGGCCCTATCTTGCAGGTAATTCTGTGGAAAGGGAAGATACAGGCTCAATAAAAATGTGTCTTTTTCTGCTCTCATGTGGTAGCTCCCTGGGTGGTGAAATATGGCTAAAAATACCAACCTAACTTTCACACGTGGCCCAGTGAGAGTGGAACGATCCCATTTCTGCCATCTTAACAAAGGCAGCTGGCAGACTGCCAGTCATCATTCACATCCTACCCACTATTTTACCAATAAGGTCACAGCAGGTATGCTGTTCCCTTAATGACTTTTATAAGCAAACTGTCACGAGCAGTCTTTAATCATGAATTTGTGCGCTACACGTTTAAAACTATATGAAGAGATTAAATGAACGCTCAGGTTTACGTGGTCGTATCATTGATTTTCTGCCCTTACCTGTTGGCTGAAGGTTACGTTTCTTCTTCTGCTATTTTCTGGACATTGTCCTGTTACGATATCTGGAATGGCCAAGGTCTGAGGTCTTTTCAGGATCCCTGACGACCGTGGCTTTATCGCATCCAGTGAGCCCACCCTCAGCGTCTCGCCGTCAGGCCCCGGTGTTACGCTGCTCTCCCCTTGCTCCAGAACTCCATTTTCTCCTTGGTAACAGCCGCCAGGAGCCCGAGGAAAGCTGACACTGACAGGCTGCCTGGGCAAGCTAGCTGGAAGTGCTAAGTAACTACTGTGCCCACCTGTAAAACAGTCTATAAGCACGCTGTCAATATTTGAAGTCCCAAATGATGAGGCAAACTCATTAATTCCCGTCAAGGAATTGTCTCTGCTGACAAAACTGCCATATTTGGGTGTAAGTGGGCTGAGGGGAGAAACGGGACTTGTAAAACTTGCATATAAGTGAGCTGAGTTATGAGAAGCTAAGTTTTCGTTTACACCCTCCTCAAAGAAGAAAGGTGGCGAAGGAGGGAGAGGAAGACTCGGACTCTTCATCACTTTTTTCTTCCTGCTAAAGGACCTTAAGGGTCTTTCTGGAATGCTAATCAGAGTCAGCACAGTAGTGATAGTCAGTATTACTGAGGTGAAGACATAGATGACGCGAAGTTGCCCTCCCACAGCTTTTCCAAAACTGGTTCTATCCCAGTGTATTCCTCCAACAACATAACCAAAGCCACCTCCAAGACCTGGTGGAAAAACAGAGCCGAGATTACCTTCCCTAGCCAATCCTGGAAATCAGTAACAGCACAGCACCATTTCTCTAATGATTTGTGAGTAGAATCTGACACGTTACTTCTGTTTTACTATTCAACCCTTTTCAATTGAAATGTAGTAATAAACAGAGTTATCCATGCCACAAGGACAGTCTGGATGTACAAAAATGGTACAGAAAGAGGGAGAAGGTCAGTACTGTGAAAGTGATGATACAAGTAACTAAACATGGTAGTTCTTTCTTTGTAAAGAACAAACCACTCTACCTTCAGCTATTTCAGCCCATAAAACAAAAGTGTCCCCCAGCCTTGTGGCAAAGCTCTGCAATCAGTCAGATAACACTGTTTTCCTGGTAGTAAATGAAAATCCATTTTCCCCACTTACTTAGAGTAACGCAGATATAATTGTGACCAAGACAAACTGAATTGCTTCAGAAGTGTAGCAAGCTCATCACTAACGTGTCAACAACATACAAAACTGCCACTGCATTACTACTGATGAACACTGAAGTTCTGAAGGCACCAGATACATCTCTTGCTCTGTTCACATGGTAAAAGCCTTACGACACTATTCTTTCTTTCTTACAAACACATTCAAGTGCATGAAACAGACAGAAAACTAGACTATAGCATACAGCGATTGAAGATGACAGCAATGAGAGACCACAGCACCCAGGATGCATGTCCCCTCCAACAGAGTAACTAAAAAAAGGCATTTTCCACACCTGCAGGAAGTCAAACCTCCTCCTTTGAGGGATAATTTTGTTTCAATGGGCATTATAAATGATGCGAGGGACCTTCAGGTGAACAACCCAGGACTGTATCTTGTTTTACTTTTGCTAGCTACAAAAGCCTTTTACAGTAAGCAGAAGTGTGTTTACAAATTTAATTAGTGCAGCCTCTCCAGGTATTTGCTTAATATGCTTATACAGGAAAAGACTAGTGATTTGCACTCTGCTTTCTCACAGCAGGACTTGTTTATTTAGGGTTTATGTCACCAAGAAGCACCAAGAAAGCATACCTGCTAACAAAGCGTGGATGTTGAGGCCCCTGTCTTGGTCCACTGGGCTGCACACATCCATCATGTAGGCATGACTGGGATTGTCTGCTGAATCTGCACTGAAGTCCATGAGGACAACACCACAGACTGTAAGAATGATCCCCCATTTGTGGTTATTTGCAGTGTCAGACAAGGCACTCCCTATGTCTTTGCCATTCAGCATAAGCGAGAGCCCAAGCAACGCTCCTGGGAATAAAACAAAACAAAATCAATCAATTGACTGCTACAAGCAAAAAATGTGCATTGCTCCATACTCTAAAAGTGTTATGCTGCTTGCACAGCCTTGTGGCAAGTACTACTGCTCTTGTTCAGATTGTCACAGTCTGGGGAATGAGCATGGCTTATAGGATATACATAACCCTTTTCCACCGTTCAAGCGTACAAACGTCTGGAGTTGGTTTTGGCCAAAGAAAAACATTCTTGACCCCAAAACATCATCTCTTCAGACTCTGACAAGAGATGCTTTTATGTGTGGATCACAGGCTGCCAAAGCATCACCTCAGTGCCACTCACTACCTTCTTCAGAACCACAGTACCCAACACTTCAGAGATATTTTGTTCGGCCTAGTGCCACGGGGGATGCTGCAGATGAGAGATGCTCAATGTTTCTACTTTGTAAGTGCTACACCCGTTGTTTCTAAAAGACACACCTATTGCTAAGACCAGAATGAAAGGTCTTCTCCTCCCGAATCTTGATGTGCATCTGTCACTCCAGGCTCCCAGTAAAGGCTGTAACAAGAACCCTAGGAAAGAGGAACCGTCAGTTAGTAGCGTTTTTTTACAAGCCAGTTTCGTGGTAGAGTCAAAATAGGTACTTTAAAAGGCAGTTAAAGGCAGCACACCATGGCATAGTGATATCCCCAGCTAGTACTAGTCACCCAAGTGCACACACATCCTGGCATTTCTCAGGTTGGGGACTGAATAACGTCATGTGCCACCGCTCACTGCCATGGCAGTTCACTCTGCATCATCAATACAGCAGCATTTGACATCAGGTGAAGAATAAGACTACAACAGTTTTATGTTCTAAAGGACTCCATTCTAAAGGAATTCCTTTAGATGTCAAATTCTGCTGTTTAGCATATTCATTTACTCCATCTTCGATGGGAGAGCCCCAAGCAAACATGCAAGTTGGAAAGGTGCCTCTATTACTGTGGGCCAGCCTATGAGTAGGGGCCTATCTACTCTCTTCTCAAGTGCATCCCACAAGTAGAAGAACAGGCAGAACAAAGTTGCCAAGTGGCAATAGCCCATCCTATGATTCTTCCCACAATAGTAGATACGATCCGGGCCCTGGCTCCGTGCTAAGGCAAGTAATCCAATGCCCATAACAGCAGCAGTCAATGGTCTTTCATCGTTGGAACACCTCATTAAACAGGAGAAGACAATCTCACTCTACTTTTTTCACATACCCTTGGGAACTGTCTCTGGGCACTTTTTTCATAGGGACACAACGGATATCCTGATCATCTTTTGCTAGTTTTTAAATATAGGAACAGACTAACCAAAGCTTACCCTCATGCAAGATGTAAGAGTTTGGTTAAAAGAACAGACCCTTTTGATCACACTGGGCTCGTGTCAAGCAAGACACAGCAAGAATTATTCTATGTTTGGTTGTCTAAAATTATGGTTAGTGCTTCTTAATCTCAAGACCACACAGAACATGCTTGTTAACAGCTGAGGTAAAGAAAATGAAAATATGAAATACCTGTGTAATGGAAAAAAACAAGAGGAAAGAAATAGTGTAAAGAAAAGTTACCTAATATAGGGCTGATGAACCACACCATTCCATACAGTTGGTCTGGAAGCCCCATCTGAAGCAGCACAGGGGTAACATAGGCTGTTTCCATGGCATAGCTGAACTCAAGCCCAAAGAGAATGCACCCATTAAACAGGAGTTCTAGGAAAGACCTCTGAGGCTGGAGATCCCCAAAATCAATCAAATCAATAGGACATGGAGTATTTGGCGGTGGCGGTGGCGAAGGGCGGATGTGTTTTCTCCTTTTTGGATGTCTCTTGAAGTTGTTGGCCCGATGACTTATGTGCCGTGTGACTGATCCAGAATAGCCTGGAATTTGTGACCTCCAGATTTCCTGAGAAGCCACGCTTGGCAAAAGTGCAGCATCGTTGACAGGGGTTGTTGCAGATGGTGGAATCATCACGGGTAGGCGTCTAGAATAACAATAGCTCAGAATAAAATGATTGAGTAAGAAAAACTTTGCTTTGTTTCACTGAAGTGCAAGCCATTTCTCAACAATTCACGTACTGAGGGCAGCCTCTGTATTAGTTACAACCTTTTCTCTCCATCTCTTGACACAAAACATACATATTTTATGGGCATGTCTCCTCCATCTTTGCACAAATGAGACACCAGAGGTCCCACCTTGGTTACCTAGGCATTGCCTACCATCATCAGGGATTAAGGCTGAAATATTTAAAACAGTTAGCAGGCAGACACGTCATACTTCCCAGGAGTTCCCATAACAGCAATGGGTCTACATTTATCTGCAATTCACTTCAGCTAAATTAAGATGAATCACTACATCAATCAATAAAACAAAGCTGTAGGGGCTTTTAGGGGCTGCAGATCCAAAACCCTGCTGGCAATGTGAAATCACCTTTCAGTACCGATCCTCCCATTCCTGCTGCCGGTGCTCAGGCCAAGGGTTAAAAGCAAAACTTTTTACAATTTCAGTACCGATCCTCCCATTCCTGCTGCCTGTGCTCAGGCCAAGGGTTAATGCAAAACTTTTTACACAATGAATGAGTTTATTTTCCTTCCTATTTCCATTCCTGAATTCAACAGAGACACTCTGTCACAAGGACAGGGTCTGATCCCCTACTTCTTGCTGGTTCTATTCCCATAAGACTACCAGAGCTCCCAAAGAATGGGTTTTGGAAGTTCAGACTACACAAACTGAACACTTCCTTCCTATTTCCATTCCTGAATTCAACAGAGACACTCTGTCACAAGGACAGGGTCTGATCCCCTACTTCTTGCTGGTTCTATTCCCATAAGACTACCAGAGCTCCCAAAGAATGGGTTTTGGAAGTTCAGACTACACAAACTGAACACTTAGATGAGATCAGCTGACAACAAATATACTCGGAACTAGAAATTGATATAATTTTTCAGCGCAGGAATTGATGCTTCAAACTAATTGCTGAGAAGATACATACCCCACAAGCCACCCTCGGCACTGCTACTCTTCTCTCAGAAATTAATGGCATTCAAGAGCTGAACAGCCTCCTCGGGTCTCATCAGAATCACCTAATGGCATTCAAGAGCTGAACAGCCTCCTCAGGTCTCATCAGAATCACTCCTCTAGCCAAAGCGCGTATGCTGTGGTAGGTAAAACAGCCGAATGGGTTCCAAAATAGCATCTCAGAATAGATGCCGACAGATCTGCTGAATTAACGAACCGCATGCAATTTCTTGTCTCTTGTTGCCAGAAATGGAAACAGCTCATAAGTGAAGTCTGACCTTTCTTTATGCTTTCTTGCCCACAGACCCAAGGCTGCTGCTGCTGCACAAGCATGGCTCCACATCACCCCACACCTCTTCGGGAAAACCCTCACAGCTGCACACTATCTCTTTTTGGTGTTTTTTTTACAGTTTCCACAGGGAAAAGACTCCCAGTTGTTCTGTTACTTTGGCTGTACAGAACTCCCACAAATCTCCTGTTTTCTGCTACTTTCTCCAGTGCATTTCATGCACCTGTCTTCCTGTAGCCCTTAGTCTATGCAACGTCATTCTTTGCTGCGTATCCCCAACTATTACCAAAAGCAGAACTCTGTAAACCCCTGTTTACCATCACACTGACACAATGGCTGTTAAGCATGGTGGGATGATGGGGTCCCTACACAGACCAGCTCCACAAAAGCATCCAAAGAGAGACGTTTCACAATGCAAAACTGAAATGCCAAGCACCTCACAGAAGACTGCAACTGGGGTAACTCGACTGTATTTGGGGCCTGAGGGGGAGAAGGAAGGGTGGGAGAGAGAAGATGCTGACTGAAACAGTGCTAACAGTGTACCACAGATTTCCTCTGGACTGCTTCTCTTCAGACCAAGATACATATCATGTAAGAAAGAACAACAAACAATTCATAATTTTAGTTGCATGCCTTAACAACCCACCTCTCACAAGGCACCAAAAGCAAGCTGCATTTTGTTGAGAAAGCTCATTAGACACAAAGTCCCCTAGATGGACCAACAGAAGGAAAAGCATATGGAGACTTCATGAAGGTGCCCACACCAGTGTTTCCCTTGACACTCTTTTCACAAATTACTGAAAAGTTCTTGTGACCCGTGTCTTTCCTAAGTAGAGTACTTACTTCGCAGGAGTACCTTTATCAGCCTTCAAGTCAAAGTAATTCCCTCACAATGAGAATTTATTAAAAATTAGGAGAGAGATGCCAGGAAAAAAAGACATGACAAAAACCAGACAGACGCTTTCACGACCCTTTTGCAGAAACGTGACAATACAGCTCTGCTAGCTCTCTCCTTCACCACCAACATACCTTGCCATTTGCACCCAGGGTGTTGATTTCACTGAATTTTTAGAGTTGGAAGGGACCATAGAGATCATCCAGTCCAACCCCCCTGCTGAAGCAGGATTGCCCAGAGCTTGTCAGAGCATGTTACTCAGGAGCATCCAGGTGGGGCTTGAAGATCTCCAAGGAAGGGGACTCCACACCCTCCCTGGGCAGCCTGTTCCAGGGCTCTGCCACCCTCACTGTGAAGAAGTTTTTTCTCATATTTGAGTGGAACCTCTTCTGTTCCAACTTGTGCCCATTGCCCCTCGTCCTCTCACTGGGAACCACTGGGATTTCTCTATGTTCATCTATTAGTTTCACTCCATGCCAGATCCTCCTTTATCTGCCTGCTCTGTACTGTGCATTGTGAAGAAGTAGCATTGCAAGTGACAAAAGGAAAGAACCCCTCTGCGTGGCTCAAAAATACACATGGTGATCTGCAATTACTTGGAACGAAATGCTATTATTGCCCAGGGAGGGTGTGGAGTCCCCTTCTCTGGAGATTTTCAAGCCCCACCTGGATGCTCCTGAGTAACATGCTCTGACAAGCTCTGGGCAATCCTGCTTCAGCAGGGGGGTTGGACTGGATGATCTCTATGGTCCCTTCCAACTCTAAAAACTCAGCAAAATTCAGTGAAATTCAGTGAAATAGCGTGTCACTGGGCCGGCTAAAAATCAGCCTAATGCTGTGAGCTGAGCCCATATTCCTCACTGCCAATTTTCCTCAACTTCACCAGAGAATATAAATAACCCTGCCCTCAGGTGAATCTACCTGGTGACCACAACAGCTCCAAAG